TTGTGACCAAATAAGATTGTAAAGGCGTAATAGGACTGCAAGGGCTGACTGATGTAAATGTTGTAGCATACGAATATGGATGTCGTCGGGCCCAGCTGCCGATGATCGGCAAGCTGAGAGTGTTGCCTCCAGTTCTTGAAGTGTGAAAGGGACATTATAATGTTCTTCTCTGAGAGAAGAAAAGTCCAAGGGTGCTAACTCTCTGGCAGACTTTGAGGAAAGAAATGAGGGGCATAGATGGAGTCCCTGAGAAATACGGACCAGATGATTGCCAATTTCATTGGCAACATCTAGTGGGTTTGCTATATCAACACCGGCAACCCGCAGAACAGGAGCCGGGTCAGGAGAATATTTACCACTCAGTTTTCGTACTTTTTTCCAGACTGCACTCATAGAGGAAGCAGAGGTGATGGTGGAGACATAATCTCGCCAGCAAGTGCGTTTAGTGTCACGGATGACACGGCGAGCGATCGCACGCTTCTGCTTAAATTCAAGAAGTCTCTCTGTGGTTCTATTGTACCGGTACCTGCCCCATACAGCACGTTTCAAACGTACTGCACGAGCACAAGCAGGAGACCACCAAGGCATGCATTTCTGAGAATGCCTGCCCGAAGTTTGGGGTATAGAATGAGAAGCTGCGGTTAAAACGGAGGACGAGAAGAGGTGTAAAAGCTCATCGATGGAGGACAAAGAAGGAACCTCTCTAAAAACAGTTAGGTTGTGATAAAGGTTCCAATTTGCCTGATCAAATTGCCAGCATGGGATGCGAAGAGGTGGTGAATATGAAGGAGAAGTAAGAATGATTGGGAAATGATCGCTGTCATGTAAGTCCGGAAGAACAGACCAACTGAAGTCTAATGCGGCGGAGGAAGAGCAGACTGAGAGATCGATGCAAGAGAGAGTGAGAGTCCGAGGATCAAAATGGGTGTGAGTACCTGTATTTAAAACATGGAGGGGGTGGGTGGCAAGAAAAGCCTCTAACTGAATGCCACGGGAATCACAGTGAGACCCCCCCAGAGGAAATGGTGGGCATTAAAATCACCAAGTAACAGAATTGGTGGTGGTAATGACGAAACAAGAAAGGCAATATCCGGAATAGATAATGCCCGAGAAGGAGAGAGATATAAAGAACAGAGCGTATACCACCTATGCAAGTGGATACGGGCTGCTGTGTAATGCAGCGAGGTATGAACAAATAGCTGATGGTACGGAATATCAGTGCATAGAAGAAGGGCACTTTCATTAAAGGTCCCATCAGGAAAAGGATCTGAAGAATACAATAAATTATAGCCTGAGATGGGAGAGATAACAGCAGAGTGTAATTTTGGTTCCTGTAAGCAAACACCAACAGGGGAAAACTGAGAGAGTAACATCTGAAGCTCACCCCGATTACCCCTGAGGCCGCGTATATTCCACTGTAAATAGGCCATGATTGGCAATGATAAAGATACCTGAAATCCGCAGGTAAGGATTCCTACGGACTAGAGAGGTTAGAAAAGTCCACATGCGGAGGCAGTGGAAAACGTTCAAGCAGCGAAGGAACGGTGCGCTGTGAAGAAAGGAGTTGCGCAGATGGAGTAGAGGAGAGAAGGAGCGGAGGGTGGATCAGTGTCCATTGATGGTTTGGTCTCTGCAATATTCAGAGATTGCTTCAAGTGTTTCAGAATTCAGAGACGTCGTATGGGAGACAATATTGGAAATGGTAGGGGAGGATGAGTAAAGATTGGAACTGTAATGGACTGTACCAAGGTAGGGGGGGGGGGACGGAAGGGTGGAGGGAACTGGAGAAGCGTGGAAGGGGACAGAAGAGGCAGAAACCTGGGAGGTGGCAGAAGAGGAAGAAACTTGGGAGGGAACAGGGGAGGAAGGTACAGTACGAGGAGGAGGGTGAACCTCTACACTTGTAACAGAGCCAGTGAGAGGGGGAGAACCAGGTACAGAGACAGGGAAGGGAAAATGAGGAGGTGGAAGATGGGTAGGAGGTGTTAACAGACCTTTTTTTGACTTTTGAGAAGTAGAGGGACGATTGGGAGGAGGTGTCATACGAGATCTCGTCGCTACTGAGGCTTGTGAGAGAGAACACGAAGAAGCAAGATCAGACTGAGACGTTGAAGTAGGGACGTCTGAGCCGAGGACAGCAAAAGAATTAGCTACAGGAGTGACTATGGGAGAGGTAACCACAGAGGTGGGTGCAGAAGATGGATACCAGAAGTGGGGGGACGTTTTGAAACACGGAAATAAGAAACACGAGGTAGTCTCCCTTGGAGGCGGAGATGAGAAACTGCCATGGCATAAGGGAGACCTTCTGCCTCTTTGAGGTAACGGATTTCCCGCTCATTTAAGTAGACTTGACAATGGCGAGAGTACGAAGGGTGAGCCTCATGACAATTAAGGCAAGAGGGAGGTCGATTGCAAGACGTATTAGAATGGTCATCGGCACCACAGACTGGGCATTCGGCGATAGATCTGCAATATTTCGCTGGATGGCCAAATCGCCAGCAATTTCGACACTGTTGCGGTGTAGGGATCACCTTTCGAACTTGTAACCGATGTCCTGCTACATAAACTGAGGATGGGAGTTCACGGCTGTCAAAAGTTAAACGAGCCACATTGCTAGGGTATCGTCTCCGCCCGCGGGCAGGAAGAACGTAAGTGTCTACCTTGAGGATTGGGAGATCTTGGAGTTCCAGCTGTTCAAGAATGTCAGTGCCACATGTCTGGAAATTTTGTTGAACTATGGTATGGGGCAGAATGATGGTACCACTACAAGAATTGAGGGAATGATGCTTTTCAACAGTTACAGGAACAGTATCGATATGGGAAAGACGAGAAAGCTCATGAGCCTGGGTAGCATTCTGTACGGTGACGATGCGCGTACCGCTCTTAAGAGCATGAAAAGAAATATCTTTACCAACATGGCGTAGGAGTGCCTTGCCAATACTGTGGTCAGAAAGATAGGCAGTAGAGGAAGTCGGTCGTAAAGTGAAGAATTTAGTCCATTGTGCAGTCTGAAACTGAGCGTGGAAAGGTAGTGAAGGACATGTCGATCTTTTCTGAGAAGAACGAGAAGGTGGAGAAGTATCATCAGCAGGTAATTGTCGTTGTCATTTAGGCGTGGGACCAGAGTTGGTCCGACGTGGAACGGGCCGGCGATTCGAAAATTGCTGCACCGTAGAGGGAGAGGCCGGAAGCATAGTCAGAGGAGAGCGAAGGTCAGATAAATCGAAGGAGTCAGTCGAGGCCTCAGTATCTGAAGCGGGTGAGGAAACAGCACCGGCAAGAGGTACAGAGGCATGAGGAGTGTCCGAAGAGTGGTCAAGACGAGGCGGGGTCAGAACGGGGTGCGGTATCAAGAAGGGGCCCGGGGGTAGCAGGTTCATGGACTAGGGCTGCCATGGTTAGGTTACTTCTATCTTTTTGTTTTTAAGAAAAAAAAAGAAAGAAGAAAAGAAAATAAAAATAAAAAAAATAATAAAAAAAGGGGGGACCGGGGAGGGATAGTTCCTAGGAGGAATGAAAGGGCCAGAAATCTCCCTCCGCTCCCAAGAGGACCTCAGCACCGCAAGTAGCGCAGATGCAGCATGGAACCCGTGCTATACCCTACCCATCATGCCAGTAAACCGGCAATCCGGGATAGCAACCTCACATCTGCGAGCTACCTCGGTGGTCAAAAGAGAGGGCGGCCGGAAATCCGCCACAAAGCATACCTCCTTCGGCCACCACCCCCAGAATCCGAAAGGTGGCTTCCAGAGATACACCCGTCGCCCGAGAGACACCCAAAGCCACCCTCCGGGATACCGGAGAGGGATCAGGACATCCCCAGGCAATCCAGATTCCACGGCAAACTACGCCACCGCCAAGAACCTCAACGGAATGGGATGGACCCCGGTACCCTTTCCCCTACCTAGGAACTAGCGTGCCTGTGGAAAAAAAAAAAAAAAAAAAAAAAAAAAAGGCCAAAAAGGAAGGGCAAAAGGGAGGGGTGGGGAGGAGGAGGAGGAAAGGAAAAAGGGGAGGAGGAGGAAAGGAAAATGGGGAGGATGGGATAGGGAACGGGGGATTGGGGGGTAATTAGGTTCGGTCTGAGGAAGTAGACCGACAGGTCTAATTCCTCAGACCAAGAGCCTCTTCACCACGCCAAGGAGCCCCCCTTGAAGAGGTTTGGTTGAAATCGGTAAATGGGTGGTTTCTTGTACTCATTCGATAGAAAAAATGGAGTTCTAGTGAAATACTGTAGTTATGATTTTTGTCGACTAGTACACTGGAATTGGCCGAAAGTAGGGCTCAAAGTGGGCAAAATCGCCGATGCATAAACATTGTCGAGACCGCTAACTTCGCGAAAGCATAATTCCCTAAGTTTTCCATCAAATTTCATTCTTCTGGTGTCATTATGATCGGGAAAAGATTCTCTATTTTCATAAGAATTTTTTTTTTTTTTTTTTTTTTTTTTTTTTTTTTTAAATTTGGGCGACCCTGAGAACAAGTCTGGGAGAGGATCTGGGGACCCTGAAAGGGTTAATAAACAGCATAACATTCTGAAAACATCTAACAATGACAGAACTCCTAATGGATTTAAACCGAAAGTTAAAAAGACTACAGAAAGTTCAGGCTTATCAACAGAGTTGTTGAGGATTGTCTAGAAGCAAGTACTTTGGGTTACTTTAAAAATGAATTAGACACACATGTGATAAAGACTGGGTGTAAGTAGGAAATGCTTCACAAGGCTCAGTAAACCTTAAAATCTGAGTGCTGCTCAGAGAGGAGCATCACAAGACTTCGTGGCATCTGAGAGAGTTAGGTGTAAGTTTTAGTTGCAAAGGAAAAAAATTCAGGTGGGTTTAAATCACAAGGATTACATATAAGATGTATTACCAATCAAATTAGATGTGGATTATTTTGGAAAATGCAACTAGAATTTTTTAAATGTTAAGAATCAAATCAATACTCAATAAATCATTGTGATTATGACTAGCACCAAAGCAAAGCTGTCAATACAATACCGAGAGCCATCCGTCACATGCACATAGGGATTTCGAAGGATCATCCACAGCACTAACTCTTTTTGTAAAGCTTGCTTTTGTTTCTTCTCTGCCTGCTGTGCTGCACGTCGCTTAGCAAGATTGGTCTCCTTAGTCGGTGAGCTGCGAGGATTCTCTGGCATTTCCACATCATACCTGAAGATTAGCACGAACCCAGCAATGCTGTCTCTTACCCCTCTTAAAAAACCGTAGATTGTTAACTGGAAAACAAAGAGGATAACGTCTAAATGGCCTAGACATTTGTCCCTCATGATAGTACTATGCTAGAAATTTTTATATCTCTTCAGGGTGTCTTAATACAAATTTACAGGATACTCCAGTGTCATGATAATAATGTACTTCAGAATCCATCACATAGTAAGCAAATAATTACCTATTTGAAGCTACAGGAGCAGAGCTCTGTCTGTTGTCCCCCTTTATTAACATGTTCATCGTACGATTTCCTTAAATTTTCGATATGTACATAGATGTACCACTTATTGCCTCCTCTTTCAAATTATTTCAATCATCCACCACTCTATTTGTTAGGAAAAATTTCCCAGTATCCCTTCAAGTCCATTTTTTTCTTAATTTATATCAGTAGCCTCTTATTATACCTGCTGAAGGCACAAAAATCTTTATTCTTCCATATCTTTTTAGAACCTTACATGTGGGTGCTCATGGCTTAGTATACAGCATCCTCAGCTTACATGCTGAGAATCTGGGTATTGATCCTGGCATGTATGGAATGTTGGGCATGTTTCCTTACACCTGCTGCCCCTGTTCACCTAACAGTAAGTAGGTACCTGGGTGTTAGAAGACTGTTGTGGGTTGCATCCTGAGGAGCAAGATTAACCTAAGTTGCCCAAAATGGTATTCATAACCAGGGAATTTCTATATACAAAATGCCAATGATATTAACTAGATCTGTAATAGTTGTATCATGTACTTGTAGAATTAAATATTATCATCATTATTATTAAATAGCTTTTTGGCATTATTCCAGTTAACACATGAATTACAAATTTTGTATAATCTCCTGGTAACTTTTTTTTTTATTAATAATGCACATATCCCTTACTCTGGAGGACAATCGCAAAAATGACTACATTATTACAAGAATAATTTGATGTATGTATTAACTAAATGGAATACAAGATAGATGGAATTATATATTGATAAATGCCATTTAATGGAAATAGAGACAAGTACAGATCCTTGTGGCACCCCACTGGTGACATTTTGTAAAAGGGACATTTGTTCTCTTATTGCTGTTTGTTTTTCCTCTCAAATAAAGTCTCTCATCTACTGTAACAGTTTGCCTTTTATTTTAAAGTTTCAAAATCAGTGATCTCTCTCTCTTAACCTTCTCCCCCCAAAAACTAGCAAATGCATTAAAATTGCAATTCAAAATTGCACTGCATCCATACATAAATACAGAGTACTGCAACCTTAATTTGAACTGTTTTATGCAAGTACCTAGCACAACAAAAATAAAACACGAAAGTACGTATAAAATTTGTAACACAACTTGCGCTATGACATTTCAGTCTGAGTTGGAGCTTAACAAGTCACAGTGAATTGAGCAGGGAAATTATTTGTGAACTGTTCCAGCGACAGTATTGTGACTTCTTATTCTCTAAAGTTTGTTTTTGTGACAGTAAATTAGAAATGTCAAGTTACAGATTAGTTTGGATAAAAAATTAGGCTATAGGTTAGGATTATTAGGTAATAAGCTAAACTTTTAGGTTATAGATTAGCTAAGTTGGATTACAAGTTAGTCTGAATTAAGATTCTTAACTTATTGATTAGGGTAGATTTCAATTATCTTATAGGTTCGGTTGGATTAGGATAGGTTATGCTATAAATTAGGGTGGGCTAGAACTGTTAAATTACTGGATTATGGGTCAGGTTATTTAGCTACAGATTAAGTTGTTGATTTACTCATTAGGTCACAGGTTAAAAAAGTTAGTTTATAGGTTGGGTTGTTAGGTTATAGATTAGGCTGTTAGTTCACAGGTTAAGTTATATATAGATCAGGCTGTTACATTAAACAGTGACAGATTAGAATAGTTTGGATTAAGACTGTTAGTTATATAAGGTTTATTAAAAAATGTTTCGGTCCTGGGACCTTGTTAGGCTTGTTAAGAATTTATTTGAAATATTAACCTGAGGGTTAGTAACCCAGGATTATTAAGTATTTTGGTACAGGTGCACACAGGCACAATTATCAATCAATGGAAGTCACTGACTCTTTTTTGGGTTATCCTGTAGTGAAATTTATACGATGTCTATGTATTTATTTATTTATTTATTTATTAATTTGAACATGATACAGAGAAGTACAAGGAATACAATTTTTAAAGTGCAGCATGCCAAAGCCCCTTGTATGCAGAGCATTATGGGCAGGCTTAAAATTTACTTAAGATTAACTAAGCAATGATATATTCAGTGGTACAAAAATTATTGTACTTAAGTGTATCTGTAGCTAAATAAACTTACTTATAGTAACATGTGTAAATTATGTAAGATAACTCCCCAAAAAAAGACAAAGCAGTATGGTTTATTTCTAATGTAGCCCTTTGAGCTTCTCACTCAGGATACAACACAACAGTTAACAAACACCCAAGTGTTACATTAGATTTAGATTAGTTTTATATTTAGTTCCTCATTATTAGAAAAACTTGTGTTGTAGCTCAATTGCTAGTACACTCAGCTCACACAGTGAGGTCCATGGTTCGATCCCGGTACAGGTGGAAACATAAGGACGTTTTTCCTTAAGACACCTGCCGTACATGTTCTCATCAGTCAAACAGGTACCCGGGTTTTAGTCGACTGGTGTGGGTCACATCCTGGGGACAAAATTGACCTAATTTGCCCGAAATGCTCAGCATAACAAGTGGCTTTCTATGTAGTGGTATGTTATAGATGTGTGTGCTTACAGAAATAAAGATTATTATAATGACCCCAATGGAAATAAGTCACTAACTTTTTTGGGTTATCCCAGGTTCTCTACACATATGCTGCTATGTATGATAATTCTATATAACTATCTGTGTATACCTGAATAAACTTACTTACTTACTGACTGTGGTAATTTCTCCTTTATTATTTAGTTTTGGGAGCATTTTCTAAGTTTATTTAGGTACAGGTACACATAAGTACAATTACCATACATAGTGTAAACTACCCACCAGGATAACCCCCAAAAAATTAGTGACTTATTTCTACTGTGATCTTTGTGACAGTAAATTATTGTAGCCACTTAAGACTGAAATAAGTTTAGATCAGAACCACCAGCCTCACACAATACCATCATCCATCACTTCTCCATCTTCAACAACTTACACATTACACAAATAACCTGAACATAGGAGGGGGGAAAACTCGTGTAACGTTTCGCTCCGACTCTGACCGAAACGTCATAATTTTCTTTCTCCTTAGTGCAGGTTATTATTGCATAGTTCCAACCACGGCATTGTTCATTTTTATTCTTCATCTGACACAAGTGAAGCTAAGTTTATATAATCACAGGTACACATAAGTACAATTATCATATTGTAAATTACCTACGATAACCAAAAAAAAAAAAAAAGTGACTTATTTCCATCGTGGTCCTCGTAATATCTTATTAATTAAACCTTAAAAGTAAAACAGTTCAGCAAGTCAATACTCTTTCTCTCATTTCTCCAGTGTTACCTTCAGTGACTCCATTTTCACATAATGCGAGTATATTGTGTGGTGTTAGCAGCAGCAGGAGTGAGTTGTGTGGTGTTAGCAGCAGCAGGAGTGAGTTGTGTGGTGTTAGCAACAGTAGTGAGTGTAGTGGTGTTCAAGTCTTCATCAAACACTATCCAACTCTCTATTAAGAGGATCTGAATCTTCTGTCTCACTCTATTGTTTACATCAGTCAGCTGATTCATCTGCGCGCCAAATTAAAAAATTTTTAAGGGTGAAATGGAAATGTTTATATCTAGTACATATAGTGTAGAGTTGGTATGATGGGTTATATGCTGTACAGATTTAGATAATGAAAATAATTAATAAATAATAATTACTACTACTACTGCTGCTTTTATTACTACTACTACTACTACTGCTGCTGCTATTACTACTACTGCTATTACTACCACTGTTGCTGCTAGTATTACTACTACTGCCACTACTACTATAACTGCTGTTGCTATTTCTACTGCTAGTTCACTACTACTATTACTTCTACCACTACTGCTGCTACTACTATTGCTGCAGCTGCTACTACTACTAGATAAGATAAGAGAGATAAGATTTCGTTCGGATTTTTAACCCCGGAGGGTTAGCCACCCAGGATAACCCAAGAAAGTCAGTGCGTCATCGAGGACTGTCTAACTTATTTCCATTGGGGTCCTTAATCTTGTCCCCCAGGATGCGACCCACACCAGTCGACTAACACCCAGGTACCTATTTGCTGCTAGGTGAACAGGACAACAGGTGTAAGGAAACGTGTCGAAATGTTTCCACCCGCCGGGAATCGAACCCGGGCCCTCCGTGTGTGAAGCGGGAGCTTTAGCCACCAGGCCACTACTACTTCTACCACTGCTGTTGCTACTTCTGTGGTTACTGCTACACAAAATAAGACCCTGGACAACTGCAATTAGTGCTCATTAGCAAGTGCTAAACCCGAAGTAGTCATACAATACCTGGGGAATGGGAGGCAATCAGGATCAGTCTATGAGGATGATAGATCCAATTACTTGGATCAAAGCCCTAACTGGCACCTAGGCACCTCCTTAAGGGGCATGTCCTACACCTACATCATGGCATGCAAACCTTCCCTCTCCCCAACCTTGAAGTGAATTTAGTAAATATTTCATTTTTCAAAAACTAGGTATCCAGAAAAATGCACTAAACCCCTATGGGTTATTCAGTACAAATGATCAATACAGTAAGCCTTGAGGCCCATGTGAAGTAGATTATTTTTACAATATACCATGATGACACTCTTCAGGTCACTTGTTCTATCTAGGCTGGAATATTGCTGCACACTAACAGCACCTTTCAAGGCAGGTGAAATTGCTGACCTAGAAAATGTACAGAGAACCTTCACGGCGCGAATAACGGAGATAAAACACCTCAATTACTGGGAGCGCTTGAGGTTTCTGAACCTGTATTCCCTGGAACGCAGGCGGGAGAGATACATGATTATATACACCTGGAAAATCCTAGAGGGACTAGTACCGAACTTGCACACGAAAATCACTCACTACGAAAGCAAAAGACTTGGCAGACGATGCACCATCCCCCCAATGAAAAGCAGGGGTGTCACTAGCACGTTAAGAGACCATACAATAAGTGTCAGGGGCCCGAGACTGTTCAACTGCCTCCCAGCATACATAAGGGGGATTACCAACAGACCCCTGGCAGTCTTCAAGCTGGCACTGGACAAGCACCTAAAGTCAGTTCCTGACCAGCCGGGCTGTGGCTCGTACGTTGGTTTGCGTCACAGACCGGGCCGCAGGGGCGTTGACCCCCGGAACTCTCTCCAGGTAAACTCCAGGTATAAAGAATGTAGTGTTTTTTACTAAAAGTTTTTAAAATCTTCATGTTTACTTAAGGCATATTATTACTGTATCATTATTATTACACTCATGAATAAGTGCTAAACCCTTAGGGGTCATATAGCTCCTGGGGAAATGAGAGACATTCAGGTTCAATCCAAGGAAAGGGGAGAACAGTCCAATTCCTTGAATCAAGAACCCCTTCACCAGCATCAAGGAACCTCCCTCAGGAGGACAAGAGAGAGGAATTAGAAATATGTAATACCTGAGTATCTTTATTTGAAGACACTGATGTGATGTAGGAGGAAAATGGTTTCACATATCAGGCCACAGGAAAGCTTGACCAGCCAGTGCTAATCTGCCATGAGATGAGGGAATGATATCCTGTGGGAGAGCACCTGCCATCTCAAGTCTTGTTAGAGACGGCGGCATTAAGGAGAAGTCGATTCTTTCTGTAAACCACACGTGGTGTGCCCCCATGGAGAGTTACCTCCGAAATCTGAAGTTAACGGGGATGGGCCATGGAGGACCATATAAGCCCAAGAAAACAGCTATGAGGGGAGATTTGGGGAAGAGCTCTTGCTGGAGAGTTCTGGGCAAGTCTGAGGTACAATTCTAGGTTATACTATAATAATTCTAAAACTCAAATTTATTTTTCAATTTATTATAAAAAATTAATACAAATGTTGACAAAGTTACTAAGTAAAAGCAGATCTCATTTTAAGAAGGTTGATTTAATGAAAATTTACTTTAACAAAAGGCAAGATAACAAAAAACACTTTTTGTAGGAAAGACGATTTGGAAAGCAAATACAAGCAGTTCTCACCTTAAGAAAGTTGATTTCATGAGTTTACTTTAACAAAAGGCAAGACAACAGAAAACACTTGTATCAAAGATGATTTGGAATTAGCTATGTACAGTGTTACTTCACTTACTAGACTGAAGATAGCATGTGGCTCTGACACTAGACTGACCAGTCTGCTTGCAGGTCTGCTCTCTAACATGATAAAACAGGCAACAACCAACAAATAACCAACACTTAGAACAAACTTTAGAGGAAACTCCTAAGTTTAATTTGTTTGAAAACTGCTCCAGCCACAGTCTTACAACTCATTTTTTTTCCAAGTGATTCTAGGTACAATGCACTGTTACTTTATGTCTACATATAACTTTAGCTTGTGTTGCCTTCATACAAATATCATTAAGGGAATATCTGGGGAAATACTGTCACAGATGACATAAAACAAGTCAACAATGCTTTCTTTTATACATAAAAAAAAAACAAGTCCCATGGAATCAGTGCCGCTTATGCTTAAAAAAAATCAAGGAAGAATAAAAAGGCACAACAACGTGACCAGAACAATACACAAATAACCCACACACAGGAGAAAGAAACGTATAACAACATTTCAGTTCGATTTGGACCATTAACCCTTAAACTGTCCAAACAGATCTACGTTCACTTGCGTAGCGCTCCGAACATAGATCTACATTTGGACAGTTTAAGAGTTAACTAGCCATGTCATCATATGTTTTATTCTCCCATGTGCAGGTTATTTGTGTTAAAATCAAGATCAGTCATGTCACAGGTTTTTTGGCACACAGTCTTGCTTGTTGTTACTATCAATGAATAAATTATACTTCTTGACTTACATAATATTTTATTTTTCCTGTGACATTTTAGGACACTTTAACCTGGATTATATTTATTTTATGCACTAAACCAGAATGGATTATACAGCATTATGGGTAGCAGTGCAAGAAACGTAAAAGTATGCGAGGGGTAGAAGTGTGCACGGGGAAGGAGTGTGCAAGGATCATATAACATTATGGGTAAGAATGTGAGGGGTAGGAGTGTGCGAGGGGTAGGAGTGTGCGAGGGGTAGGAGTGTGCGAGGGGTAGGAGTGTGCAAGGGGTAGGAGTGTGCGAGGGGTAGGAGTGTGCGAGGGGTAGGAGTGTGCGAGGGGTAGGAGTGTGCGAGGGGTAGGAGTGTGCGAGGGGTAGGAGTGTGCGAGGGGTAGGAGTGTGCGAGGGGTAGGAGTGTGCGAGGGGTAGGAGTGTACGAGGGATAGGAGTGTGCAAGGGGTAAGAGTATGTGAGGGGTAAGAGTATGTGAGGGGTAGGAGTGTGCGAGGGGTAGGAGTGTGCGAGGGTAGGAGTGTGCGAGGGGTAGGAGTGTGCGAGGGGTAGGAGTGTGCGAGGGGTAGGAGTGTGCGAGGGGTAGGAGTGTGCGAGGGGTAGGAGTGTATGAGGGAGTAGGAGTGTGTAAGGGTTATACAGCATTATGGGTAGGAGTGTGCGAGGGAGACAGTAGTGTGTGAGGGAGACAGTAGTGTGCGAGGGAGACAGTAGTGTGCGAGGGAGACAGTAGTGTGCGAGGGAGACAGTAGTGTGCGAGGGAGACAGTAGTGTGTGAGGGAGACAGTAGTGTGTGAGGGAGACAGTAGTGTGCGAGGGAGACAGTAGTGTCCGAGGGGGGATAGGGGTGTGCAAGGGTGGATAGGACTGTGCAAAGGGGATAGGAGTGTGCAAGGGGAGATAGGAGTGTGCAAGGGGGATAGGAGTGTGCAAGGGGGGAATAGGAGTGTGAGGGGGGGAGATAGGAGTGTGCGAAGGAAATAGGAGCATGTGAAGGAGATAGGAGCATACAAGGGGGATAGGAGCATGCGAGGGGAAGGAGTGGGAGGGGAGGGATCAGGAGAGTGCAATGGACAGGAGTTAGTGAAGGTGGAGGGGAAGGGAGTTAATGCAAATGCAAAACTGAAATCAGAGTTAGCGCAACAGGTTGGTTTTTAATAAAAGTTAAAAGTCTGCATTAGAGGTGGAACCTTCAGTAAGGAGGTCAGTGTGTGTGTTAGGAGGCTGTACTGGCAGTTATATATCACATTTTATACAATGGAAATATGGGATATTGTGAATCCCTCTAACAATATTTTTTCTGAGTCCAACCCACTCGTTAAACAAGAACTGCTTGTAATTTAAATGGTATCACACAATTCCTGTTTAGGAAAACACACAGGATTTTTTTTTCAAGATTCCTTGCTCATACTCTAAATATGCAATCATTGTAACCTTCTATAGTACGGTATATTCTTGAATCAAAGAACATACCCACTATATAAGAGTCAAGATGCTTCAATTACTGTTGAAAGCTCAAGTAAAATTATACTGAATTTCATAATAATACACAATGAATATTTTTAAATGATGTACTTTTTATTTATTTGACAAGTTAATGATGTGTCAAATTAAAGCATGTTAAATTATAATGCAATTAAAAACTGAACTAAATACTTTTTTAATAAAATTAAAATACATGTACTTCTTTAATATGACTAAAAACTGAACTGAATACTTTAATAAAATTAAAATATTTCTTTGATTAAAAACTGAACCAAATACTTCTTTAATAAAATTAAAATACTTCTTTAATATGATTAAAAACTGAACTGAATACTTCTTTAAGGCGAGGTGATCCAACCAACATAATTAATGAGCAGCTTCTATAGTTGTTAGTAACCCAGACTAATTACATAATTTTTTTCATTTTTAGCCATGATAGATGCCCTCACCAGCACTAAGTATGAAAGTACTCAACCAGAGCAACAATGAAGGTTTCTCTTGTATCAGGTGTTGTGTCAGGAACTGCATCAATGACCAGACGTGAAGACACTTGCCTCTTTAATGACTTCTCTCAGGGGAAGTGTGTGTTGTCGAGCATTTCAACAAACGTGCAACCTACAACAAAGGTTTTATATAACTGCTGTATTTATTTGTCAAGATGTACTAATCGAGGAAAATATGCAGCAATTTTGCCTATTTCTTGACATTTTTTCTCTCAAAGTGGGCAAGAATGACCTTACAAACTCCATGAAACCATCTTTAAACATAATAATCTGGCTTATTAATGCTCCTTATGCCATCCTGAGACCCATCTCTATAGTAATCTCTTACTCCTGCTTTTATGAAGCAAGGCCTGGTTATGGACTGGGTCATGGGGGGTGCTGACCCCCAGAACACCCTCCAGGTAAATGACTGTAGTCAAGTCATTCTCTTAACTCCTTCCACTACCAAACTTCCTCAACTTATTACTGTACATGACAAGAATTTCCTAGCTCATTTCAACCAGGCTGTACTTTAAAGACTGCTGTTACTGATCTCAAACTTCAAATTTGTGCACTTCAGTGCAACTCTATTGTTCTCTAAGGACCACTTATTTACTTTATCTATTTGCAACCTTCCATTTTTTGTATGGGAATGTCAGTTCACAATATTTTGTCCGTACCAAAGAAGGCACTCCTATATCCATCAATCTAATTTTATGATTTTTTTTAAAATAACACTTACCACAAAAGGTCTATCTATACATTATAAAACAATACTTTTGGAATTCCATACAGCAAATTAGGAGGTAAATGAAAAAGCTAAATTACAAGGGAAACAAGTGAGTAATGTACTGTTAAGTCATGAGTGAAATGAAGATTATACGTACCTATTTTAAGAGTAAATTACTATTTTAAACGTAAATTCTGTAAACCATGTAAAAAATAAATGAAAATGACTAGACAAAGCTTACCTACTCAGCTGCTGCTGCTGCTGCCTCTAAAATCTTCTTCTTCCAAGCTTCAAACTCTGCTTCCTTATCCTTTTCTTCCTCATCATCGCTGCTCTTCTCTTTAACACGTTTTTCTGGTGAACATTCTCTGAAGTTCTCTTCCACCAAATCCATGAGTGTCCTGGTACGCTTGTTTTCACCTTTCCCTGCCTTCAATGGGAGAAAACATGTTAATCTGATATATTTAGAACAAATTTTACATACTACTACTATAAACAATTCTCCAGGGAATAGACAGTAGACAAGGACGATCAGGGAAGGATACAGACTAGAGGACATGGATGCAAGTTGATCACCCATCACATCAAGTAATATACAGGAGGTTCAAATGGAATATCAGAAAGGAAGTAATTACACATGGGATAAACTATAATATGGAAATGATACAAAAATAATGCTAAGTACTGTAAAATTTATGTGCTCATGATTAGGAAGACAAATAAAAAGGGAATGGGTCAACAAAATCTTCACAAAAGTTCACCACTGCTTCATCCCCAAGTGGAGAAGTGTCTTAAATTGTAGGAGTTGCCATATAAAGTCATCCTTGTAACATACAACACCCCACATGAACAGGTGACCTAGAACACGAACACCTTAACATCAGGATAGAGTTCCTGCCTAACAAAACACCTTACCAACTCCTGCTCTTAGACTAGGGTGTGACTGTTATTGTTACGATATACCAGCTGCACTTTCTGCTACATTTTAAATGCCGTTGATGTTGATGAAAGAAGTGTTTAATCAGCTAGCAACCTGGTAACAAAAAGTTTGCTAACCCCCTACTTTTGCCAGCTCCCAAATAAGAAACAAGAAAAAAATTATCTTCTAAAATATATGTCCGTTTGTCATTGTATCTGTGGCCTTGATATATGTATGGGGGTTCTCACACATGTCTCATACCTTGAGTTTGTGAATTTCTTGGGCTATCTTAGTCATGACTTCCACCAAGCGTTGGTACATCGCCCTTTTGCTGCAGCTAGACTCAAACAAGCGCCGCTGATCCACCTTAATTTTCATCACCCTAGAAATTTTAAAGCAAAATCAAATTGAACTGTTATATTTTTTCTGCCATATTAAATACATTTGCAGTGTTTTGTGTAACCTCACAAGGTACTCAGATTACCTTTGTGTTTAGATTAAATGCTAAAAACTTTTGAAGAGCCACTTAAAAATGACTGGATCTGGCAATACTCATCCTTTTTAAAAAAATCACTTAAGCCTTATTGCCAACAAATGGTAGCTACTTTACATGTACAGAATTATATTATATTATCATTTAATTAATTAATTATATTATCATTAAGTAATTCTTCTTCTTTCTTTCAATGAACCAGCCACATCCCACCAAGGCCTGTACATCAAAGCAGTATCAATGCAAGGCAAGTAAAGGAAACAATCTACACATAATATCTGGAGTTTATCTGGAGTTTATCTGGAGAGAGTTCCGGGGTCAACGCCCCCGCGGCCCGGTCTGTGACCAGGCCTCCTTAGGTCAGTGTCCCAGGATGCGACCCACACCAGTCGACTAACACCTAGGTACCCATTTTACTGATGGGGAACATAGACAACAGGTGGAAAGAAACACATCCAATGTTTCTACTCTGGCTGAGAAACGAACCCAGGCCCTCACCGTGTGAAGCGAGAGCGTTAACCACCAGGCCACCAGAGCCCTGGTGACATTCTCAAGAGAACTCACTTGCAGGAAGCAAGGACAGCAGCAGTCTGGTACACAGGAAGGCTCACATCCACACCTTGGTTCCCACTCATGCTCGCCTCGTATCTAGGGAAATTACGAGTTAAATGTTCCATCAACATAAACCTCTTCTTCCTGTAACCCTTAATTAAATTAAGCTGCTCACAACATAATTAAAAAATTTAGTGTATGTATATGACTTAAAGTGCAGTACTGTATCATGGTCGCATTCGTAGATCAAAAACCACAAGAAAATATTAGTAGAGACAAGATATATGTACACAGATAGCCAGAAACATAGTTATCCTATACTTACTGTGTGAGAACGCGGCGTGCTAAATCAGTAGCAGCTGTGGCAGAGTGAGTGACACAGAGGTCAGCAACACTAACAGTGGGTGAAACATTGAGCAAGCGGCTCACTGTCTGGCTCTTTCCCACATACTGTGGACGCTTCAACCCTGAGAGTTTTATCACCAGGTTCTGAAACAACAACAATTACTGCTGATGACCAAACACCTATGAATGTGGGCATGAGTATACACACCCACATGCATGCAAAAACTGTTTTGATTTATAAAGTGAGGTGTAAGTGTAACAAGGGGCACATTTACGATGTTTTGGACATGGATAAGGTAATAAACAGAAAGTACAGGAACAGGTAGGTTTGCCAGAACAGGTCCTGGCTCAGGTTTTCTCCATGCAATGACCTGGCAGAGACAGAAGGATTTAGAGAATTTGCAGAAGTGAAGTATAGCAGAGTAGTCTACAGTGGAAGCAAGCTTAAGTAAGAGAAACAGATCAGGGATGGCATTCTTAGTCAGGGGTGTGTGGAAATTTTTCTGTAGCTGATGTGAACTACATAACATACCTTGTCAACAGAGGCTCCTGTGAGTGCTGCAGCCATCTCCAGACATATGACTGCTTTGCAAGACATACTGAGGGACAATCTCGAACCTCCTTGTACTGCCAGCAGGCGTATTAATTCTTCCGCTTTCCTGGGTGGGTAGTGTTGTATTAGACATTGAGCATTTAAGGTGTTGAACGCTTCTTGCAATGATTACTAACGGATGGAAATCAGAAATGCAGAATCTCATAACAATGAATTTAAAAATAGATAAGCCCAAGTAATTTATAATAAGGATAATTTCATTTATACAATGTGCTACAGAAAACATAACGACAGAGTTCCATTCCTGATACCACATCGCTAAACGAATTCATCGCTAAGTGAGGAGCACACTATAAATGTAGTGAGTTTGTGTCAACTATTTTTTGATATTGTTTTAATGTCACCTTTGCATCATTTATAACATTTCTGGTATATTTTTAAATGTTTATAGAGTAGTGAACTGTATATTGAAATAAACAGAATAGAGGAAATCAGCTCTAATATACATTATTCGGGTATGAATACTGATCAGAGAGCCCATTGCAAGTCTGAGGCGTTGGTAAACAAGTACAGTACATCATTAAGTAAGAAGAGGCTGTATAGTCTAGCCTCCAGACTTATGAACAAGGAGTAAATTATTTATTATTGCATTATTATTGTTATATTGAAAACAAGTGCTAAAAATGTATGGATCACACAATGCTGCAGTGTGAGAGCAGGGATGTGTAAGGTTAAGTAAGGTCATTCATGTTCCTTACAAGTTTGGACTTATAACTGTCTTATTAAAAACGTGTGAGCAAATTACCTAGCATAACCAAATAAATCTCCTAGTTCCACTGGGATCCTCGGACAGGGGTTAGGGCAGCTGGGTGTTAATGCAGCTGCAAAATTAATTACCCTGAAGATGGTTAAAAAATTGGAGTAATTACAGTGAAGTTGGGATTTTCAGCAAGGTCACTGAGTGAGTTAGGCACTCCAGCTAGGTCAGTGAGTTGGGCACTCCAGCTAGGTCACTGAGTTGGGCACTCCAGCAAGGTCAGTGAGTTAGGTACTCCAGCAAGGTCACTGAGTTAGGTACTCCAGCAAGGTCACTGAGTTAGGCACTCCAGCAAGGTCAGTGAGTTAGGCACTCCAGCAAGGTTACTGAGTGAGTTAGGCACTCCAGCAAGGTCAGTGAGTGAGTAAGTTAGGCACTCCAGTAAGGTTAGCATATGAGTGAGTCAAGGCACTCCAGATAAACGATGAGTAAAACTTGAGGTATTTGTACTGGTGTTTGTGCACTATTGTTACAACAACAGAAATTGAGAGGATACTATAGGAAAGTTATTTATACAGTGCAATTTTTGTATCTAATTTACCATTTATGTGTATCAATATTTTTATTACGGCACATCTAATGGGTAAGCAAAAAGTTAAAAATTATATCAAATGGTATGCGATATTTCTCTGAGCCCATATTGGGGTACTGCAATTATAATATTCCTGGAAAGCACTAAACTTGTAGGGCCATACAGCACTGGAGAGGGGGGGTATAAAGAAATAATCAGGTTTGATCGGAGGAAGGGAAGATGCTTCCAATTCACTGGACTGAGAGCCCATTAATATCATTAAAAAGAAGCACTTAATCTGTATGGGTCATGCAGTTCCCTTTAGCAGCATCAAGGAAGCACTCTTCAAGGGCCTGGTAGGCAATGCTCTCGCTTAACACACTGAGTGTCTGTGATTCCATCCTCAGCTGGATCGGAACATGGGCATGTTTCCTTACACCTACTGTCTCTGTTCACCTAGTAAGTAGGTAGCTGGGTGTTAGTTTAGTTGACTGGTGGGGGTCACATCCTGGGGGACAAGACTAAAGCCCCATAATGGAAATAAGAGAGACAGTCATCAATGATGCACTGACTTTCTTGGATTATCCTGGATGGCTTACCCTCCAGATTAAAAATGCAAACAAAATCTCATCTTAAAACTTGACTCACCTGAGAGTAGCAGCAGAGGTGAGACCCAGCTTCCCAGCCAGGCTGTGTAGCACCATACATTCCATCACCACAGCCAATGGATGTCACTTCCACTAAAAACGTTTTACTTTTAACAAGCAATGAATGTCATTACCCAAAAGTTAAAAGTCACAACATAGGCGGTGCCACCTGAGGTTACTGTAGTTATGGGGTGTGGCACGTAAAGTCTTCCTCTTGGACTCCAGGTAGAAAGTCTGCCAAATCTGAGCCTATAAGTAAAAAGGAAGGTGAAAATTTTAAAAAAGGATTATTATTACATTCAAGGGGAAGAGCTAAACCCATAGGAGTCACACAGCCCCCATGTATTATCCAAGGAAGGGGAATGCAGGTACAATTCACTAGAACAAGAGCCCCTCACTGGCATCAAAGAGCCTCCCTTGAAGAGGGGTTACAACAGGAGTAAGGCCAAATGAACGCTTTCTTCACACCACCGGATATCAACAGATGCTGGAGTTGTCAAGACCGAAAATGCTTACGTCTTATAGTAAGTAAGTTTATTCAGGTATACACAAATACAGTTACATAGATCATCATACATAGCAGCATATGTGTAGAGAACCTGGGATAACCCAAAAAAGTCAGACAGAGTAACTTATTTCCATTGGGGTCCCTGGGAGTTCAAGAAAAATATATTGCCCAAATATAGGCAGGAAATGAAAACTGATTTAACCCTGGAAAGAGAAACGGGGATGGGTATCCAATTGGGATAGGTCGACCCCAACTGCCTAAATACTGATATAGCTAGATACCAAGTTGTAGCTCACAAATGGTGCCCAATACAAGTGCCCAGAGGACTCATGATGAGGACAAACATTCCAGAAAAAGAAAACAGGGAACATTCGACAAAAATGCTCAAAACAAGAGTAGAAAGAGAGGTCCAAACTTCTAGAACATCACAGCACAGAAGAGGTCAGGTCAGAACATCAGGTCAGAACATCAGGTCAGGACATCAGGTCAGAACATCAGGTCCCATCAGTACTTCTGGCCACTAACAGCTTACACATTAGGGACTCCTGCTTCACTATGTACAGAGAAGACACATTGCTCAAAGATGAGCCATGGAAAAAAAAAGGCAACAGAAGTCCACGTTGTAAATATTATTACAGTCGTGGGGAGCGCTAAACCCGTAGGGTTATACAGCGCATGTGAGGGAGGGTGATGGAAGGTATTCAGGCTCAATTCAGGGAACTGGAGCACAGATCCAATTCCCTAGATCAAGAGCCCCTCACCAGCATCAAGGAACCTCCCTTGAGGGGTCTCTTTGTAAACAGAAACATTAACTATAAGTTACTAAACATGCCAAGTGGACCCAACTTTCCAAGTAACAATGGAAATAAGTCACTTTGACTTTTTTGAGTTATCCTGGGTAATTTACATAAGTTCATAAGAAGAAGCACTGCATCAGGCCTACTGGCCCATGGCAGTATGATAACTATACTTACGTGTACCTGTGTTTAAATAAACTTAATTAATAGCCACGGCTAAGAGAATTTCAGTTTTTGAATTGAATGTCATTTAATATAAAAAAATCGTACCTATAAACTTACTAGTCTATAACCCAAAAACTGTTCTTATGAATATATATAATGATATCCTAATCTATTTACAAATACAATCATTAAGTACTCACTTCTTCAATGTTTATTTACATTTAATGTCTCAAAACCCACACATGTAATGTTTATTGTCCTTGTAGTCTTATGTCAGTCTTAAACTTGCTTATAATCCTCTACATAACTACAAGTTTTCTACATTCATTATAAAGTGTCTCTCAGTCCTGTATAAATAATGTAATAATTGATAATAAAGTTAAATATGAACCTGGACTAACCCAGCTGCTGCTGCTGCTGCTGCACAAAATATTTACATTATCTGGCGGGAAATGATCAGCTGAGAGGCGTTCATGGTCGCTCGTCGTCCCTTTATATTAAATAAATTTATTTAGATAATCACAACCATACATAAGTATAATTATCATACATAGTGTTGTAAATTATCTTCCAGGTTAACCCAGAAAAGCCAGACAAAGTGGCTTATTTCCACTGGGTTTTTGTACTTGTTTCCCAGTATAAATTTTACAGCCTTTATTATAAGCATTTGTGTTTAATATATCTCTGCGTGAAAGTTTACTCTTAATATACCATTTCAGGTCATAAAACAATTTTTTAATACTTTTATTTTCGTCATTCCTTTAAATACTTCCACCCGTGCCGGGGATTGAACCACGGACACTCAATTTAAGGCGAGTGCGCCATTTATTTATTTATTTATTTAGTAATTTAAGCATACATACAGAGGTACAAAAAATACAGGTAAGAGCAGCATGCCAAAGCCACTTATATGCATAGCATTACGGGCTGGCTTAAAATTAACTTAAGATTAACTAAGCAATGACGAAATCAGTGATAAAGACATTATTGTAAACAGATGACTATAAAGCACAAATAAGTATTACAAAGACAGGTCATATGGTTGCATGCATTGCTGTACATTCAGTAGAATGGAGTATTCTGTTAGGTAGTGCATTTAAAAAAATAACAAAGTTAGATTGGGTCCTAGGTTTAACATTTATGTGATATAATTGTGAGAAACATTTAAGATATACAATTTATAAGGTTCAGTTATTCAGTATTTATTTGGTTTTGGGTGAGTAAGTGATCTTTGAGAAGAGACTTGAATTTATAAACAGGTAGTGTTTCTTTTATATTTACAGGTAATGAATTCCAGATTTTAGGGCCTTTTATGTGCATTGAGTTTTTGCATAGTGTGAGATGGACACGAGGAACATCAAAGAGTGATCTGTGCCTTGTGTTATGGTCATGTGTTCTGTTGAGGTTGGCAAGGAGATGTTTGAGGGGAGGGTTAATATCAGAGTTAAGTGTTCTATGTATGTAATAGGTGCAGTAATAAGTATGGATGTTTTGTATGGTGAGTAGGTTTAGTGTATTGAATATTGGTGGAGTGTGCTGCCTGTAGTGAGAATTTGTTATCATTCTAACTGCAGCCTTTTGTTGGGTAATTAGTGGTCTGAGATGGTTAATTGTTGTTGAGCCCCATGCACAAATTCCATAGGTGAGATAGGGGTAAATAAGAGAGTGATAAAGGGCCAGGAGGGCTGACTGTGGAACATAGTACCGTATCTTCGATAGTATGCCTAGTCTTGAAAATTTTCTTAGAAATTTGTTGTATATGTGTATGAAATTTGAGTCTATTATCAAGGTGGATTCCTAAGAATTTTCCCTCTGTTAGCTTTGTGATAGGTGATCTGTTTATCGTTATGTTAAGAGGTACATCTGTAGCTCTGTTACCAAACTGAATAAAGTAGGTTTTGTCAATGTTTAGTGTAAGTTTGTTAGTCCTCATCCAGGTAGATATTTTCTGTAATTCGGTATATACAGTATTGGCTAGCGTGACTGGGCTCGGGTGAGAGAAGACGTATGTAGTGTCATCTGCAAAAAAGTGTGGGTTTGAGTAATTGCGAAGCATTTGGTAGGTCATTTATGTATCAACCCAGCCATGGGAACAAGGCTATTCATTTAAGAATAGGAGCACCAGAAATACCTTGTCACAGTATCATCAATAACACTCACAGTATAATCAGTACCACTCATAGTATCATCAGTACCACTCATTATTATCAATACCAATCACAGTACCATCAATACCACTCACAGTACTATCAATACCGCTAACAGTACCATCAATACTGCTCACAGTACCATCAATACCACTAACAGTGCCATCAATACTACTCACAGTACCATCGATACCACTCACAGTACCATCAATACCACTAACAGTACCATCAATACTACTCACAATACCATCAGTACCACTCACAGTACCATCAATACCACTCGCAGTACCATCAATACCACTGACAGTACCATCAATGCCGTTCACAGTAGTGGCAGTAACACTCACAGTACCATCAATATCACTCAAAGTACCATCAATACCACTCGCAGTGACATCAATACCACTCACAGAACCATCAATGCCGTTCACAGTAGTGACAATACCACTCACAGTACCATCAATACCACTCACAGTATCATCAATACCACTCACAGTAATATCAATACCACTCACAGTACTATCAATACCGTTCACAGTAGTGACAAAACCACTCACAGTACCATCAATACCACTCACAGTACCATCAATACCACTCACAGTATCATCAATACCACTCACAGTAATATCAATACCACTCACAGTACTAGCAATACCGTTCACAGTAGTGACAAAACCACTCACAGTACCATCAATACCACTCACAGTACCATCAATACCACTCACAGTACTATCAATACCGTTCACAGTAGTGACAAAACCACTCACAGTACCATCAATACCACTCACAGTACCATCAATACCACTCACAGTAGTGACAATACCACTCACAGTAGCAACAATACCCCTCACAGTAGTGACAATACCACTCACAGTAGTGATAATACCACTCACAGTAGTAACAATGCCATTCACAGTAGTGATACCACTCACAGCAGTGATAATACCACTCAGAGCAGTAATACCACTCACAGTACTGATAATACCACTCACAGTAGTAATACCACTCACAGTAGTAACAATACCACACACAGTAGTAGCAATACCACTCACAGTGGTAATAATGCCACTCATAGTAGTAACAAAACCACTCACAGTAGTGATACACTCACAGTAGTGATACCACTCACAGTAGTAATAATATCACTCACAGTAGTAACAATACCACTCACAGTAGTGATAATACCACTCACAGCAGTAATACCACTCACAGTACTGATAATACCACTCACAGTAGTAATAATTCCACTCACAGTAGTAACAATACCACTCACAGTAGTAGCAATACCACTCACAGTAGTAACAGTACTTCTCACAGTAGTAACAATACCACTCACAGTAGTAACAATACCACTCACAGTAGTAATAATACCACTCACAGTAGTGATAATACCACTCACAGTAGTAACAATACCACTGAGAGTAGTGATAATACCACTCACAGTAGTAATAATACCACTCAGTAGTGATAATACCACTCACAGTAGTGATACCACTCACAGTAATAATACTACTCACAGTAGTGATACCACTCACAGTAATAATACCACTCACAGTAGTAATAATACCACTCACAGTAGTAATAACACTCACAGTAGTAATAATACCACTCACAGTAGTAATATCACTCACAGTAGTAATAATACCACTCACAGTAGTAATTATACCACTCACAGTAGTAATATCACTCACAGTAGTAATAATATCATTCACAGTAGTGATACCACTCACAGTAATAATACCACTCACAGCAGTAATATCACTCACAGTAGTAATAATACCACTCACAGTTGTAATAATACCACTCACAGTGGTAATAATACCACTCACAGTAGTAATAATACCATTCACAGTAGTAATAATACCACTCACAGTAGTAATAATACCACTCACAGTAGTAATAATACCACTCACAGTAGTAATACCACTCACAGTAGTAATAATACCACTCACAGTAGTAATAATACCACTCACAGTAGTAATAATACCACTCACAGTAGTAATAATACCACTCACATTAGTAATAATACCACTCAGTAGTAATACCACTCACAGTAGTAATAATACCACTCAGTAGTAATGATACCACTCACAGTAGTAATAATACCACTCACAGTAGTAATAATACCACTCACAGTAGTAATAATACCACTCAGAGTAGTAATAACACCACTCACAGTAGTAATAATATCACTCACAGTAGTAATAATACCACTCACAGTTGTAATAATACCACTCACAGTAGTAATAATACCACTCACAGTAGTAATAATACCACTCAGAGTAGTAATAATACCACTCACAGTAGTGATACCACTCACAGTAGTAATAATACCACTCACAGTTGTAATAATACCACTCACAGTAGTAATAATACCACTCACAGTAGTAATAATACCACTCACAGTAGTGATGCCACTAACAGTAGTAATAATACCACTCACAGTTGTAATAATACCACTCACAGTAGTAATAATTCCACTCACAGTAGTAATAATACCACTCACAGTAGTGATACCACTCACAGTAGTAATAATACCACTCACAGTAGTAATAATACCACTCACAGTAGTGATACCACTCACAGTAGTAATAATACCACTCAGTAGTAATAACACCACTCACAGTAGTAATAGTACCACTCACAATAGTAATACAACTCATAGTAGTAATAATACCACTCACAGTGGTAATAATACCACTCACAGTAGCAATAATACCACTCACAGTAGTAATAATACCACTCACAGTAGTAATAATATCACTCACAGTAGTAATAATACTACTCACAGTAGTAATAATACCACTCACAGTAGTAATAATACCACTCACAGTAGTGATGCCACTAACAGTAGTAATAATACCACTCACAGTTGTAATAATACCACTCACAGTAGTAATAATTCCACTCACAGTAGTAATAATACCACTCACAGTAGTGATACCACTCACAGTAGTAATAATACCACTCACAGTAGTAATAATACCACTCACAGTAGTGATACCACTCACAGTAGTAATAATACCACTCAGTAGTAATAACACCACTCACAGTAGTAATAGTACCACTCACAATAGTAATACAACTCATAGTAGTAATAATACCACTCACAGTGGTAATAATACCACTCACAGTAGCAATAATACCACTCACAGTAGTAATAATACCACTCACAGTAGTAATAATATCACTCACAGTAGTAATAATACTACTCAGAGTAGTAATAATATCACTCACAGTAGTAATAATACCATTCACAGTAGTGATACCACTCACAGTAATAATACCACTCACAGTAGTAATAATATCACTCACAGTAATAATAATACCACTCACAGTTGTAATAATACCACTCACAGTGGTAATAATACCACTCACAGTAGTAATAATACCACTCACAGTAGTGATACCACTCACAGTAGTAATAATACCACTCACAGTAGTAATAATACCACTCACAGTAGTAATAATACCACTCACAGTAGTAATAATACCACTCACAGTTGTAATAATACCACTCACAGTTGTAATAATACCACTCACAGTAGTAATAATACCACTCACAGTAGTAATAATATCACTCACAGTAGTAATATCACTCACAGTAGTAATAATACCACTCAGTAGTAATGATACCACTCACAGTAGTAATACCACTCACAGTAGTAATACCACTCACAGTAGTAATAATACCACTCACACTAGTAATAATACCACTCACAGTAGTAATAATACCGCTCACAGTAGTAATAATACCACTCACAGTAGTAATGATACCACTCACAGTAATAATAATACCACTCACAGTAGTAATAATACCACTCACAATTGTAATAATACCACTCACAGTTTTAATAATACCACTCACAGTAGTAATAATACCGCTCACAGTAGTAATAATACCACTCACAGTAGAAATAATATCACTCACAGTAGTAGTAATACCACTCACAGTAGTAATGATACCACTCACAGTAGTAATAATACCACTCACAGTAGTAATAATACCACTCACAGTAGTAATAATACCACTCACAGTAGTAATAATACCACTCACAGTAGTAATACCACTCACAGTAGTAATAATACAACTCAGTAGTAATAATACCACCCACAGTAGTAATAATACCACTCACAGTAGTAATGATACCACTCACAGTAGTAATGATACCACTCACAGTAGTAATAATACCACTCACAGTAGTAATAATACCACTCACAGTAGTAATATCACTCACAGTAGTAATATCACTCACAGTAGTAATATCACTCAGTAGTAATACCACTCACAGTAGTAATATCACTCACAGTAGTAATACCACTCACAGTAGTAATAATACCACTCACAGTAGTAATAATACCACTCACAGTAGTAATAATACCACTCACAGTAGTAATAATACCACTCACAGTAGTAATGCCACTCACAGTAGTAATAATACCACTCACAGTAGTAATAATACCACCCACAGTAGTAATAATACCACTCACAGTAGTAATGATACCACTCACAGTACTAATGATACCACTCACAGTAGTAATAATACCACTCACAGTAGTAATAATACCACTCACAGTAGTAATATCACTCACAGTAGTAATAATATCACTCACAGTAGTAATATCACTCAGTAGTAATACCACTCACAGTAGTAATATCACTCACAGTAGTAATACCACTCACAGTAGTAATAATACCACTCACAGTAGTAATAATACCACTCACAGTAGTAATAACACTCACAGTAGTAATAATACCACTCACAGTAGTAATAATACCACTCATAGTAGTAATAATACCTCTCACAGTAGTAATAATACCACTCATAGTAGTAATAATACTACTCACAGTAGTAATATACCACTCACAGTAGTAATAATACCACTCACGGTAGTAATAATACCACTCACAGTAGTAATACCACTCATAGTAGTAATAATACCACTCACAGTAGTAATAATACCACTCATAGTAGTAATAATACCACTCACAGTAGTAATAATACCACTCACAGTAGTGATACCACTCACAGTAGTAATAATACCACTCACAGTAGCAATAATAACACTCACAGTAGTTATAATACCACTCACAGTAGTAATAATACCACTCACACTAGTAATAATACCACTCACAGTAGTAATAATACCACTCACAGTAGTAATAATACCACTCACAGTAGTAATGATACCACCTCCACCCAGCATATCAATATCTCATACCTTCTCACTCCAAGATCAATCAAAAGTAAAGTCATTTTCCTGCCATATTAAGTCCCCAAACTCTACAGAACTTTACGAATATACAGAGAGCATCTCCTGGCATCCATAGGGTAAAAAACTAGACCTTCCCGGGGGCTATTAATGCCTAAAAAAAGTATTTATATAGAGTGGAGAGGGAACCAACGAATCAGTCTCAATATGTCCTCCCAGGTGGTGGCTGCTGACGATATTGACGTTGACTTTTTGCCTGTGATTTACCAGTACCTGCGTTGGTGAGTGCTCCCAGCACGTGGATCTAGAGCTCTGGGGGGTCACGGAACTTCAGGATTGACCCTAGGGGGTCGGATATTACACAGATTAGGAGGTTGAGGGGGGTTTAATGGGCACCCTGACGTGGTGTCTTTTTACCTGTGATTTTCCAGTATCTGCGGTGGTGAGTGCTCCCAGCACCTGGATCTAGAGCTCTCAGGGGACAAGGAGCCTTAGGGTTGACCCTAGGGGCTCATATTACCTGGGTTATGTGGTTTAATGTCGATATTTATGGGGTATCCCTTGATATACCGGCTCTACACCAGACCTGTGTTTGGTTTTATGTCCCTGACCTGTAGGGCTACCTGTGTGCTCCCTGACCTGTAGGGCTACCTGTGTGCTTCCTGACCTGTAGGGCTACCTGTGTGCTCCCTGACTGTAGGGCTACCTGTGTGCTCCCTGACCTGTAGGGCTACCTGTGTGCTCCCTGACCTGTAGGGCTACCTGTGTGCTCCCTGACCTGTAGGGCTACCTGTGTGCTCCCTGACCTGTAGGGCTACCTGTGTGCTCCCTGACCTGTAGGGCTACCTGTGTGCTCCTGACCTGTAGGGCTACCTGTGTGCTCCCTGACCTGTAGGGCTACCTGTGTGCTTCCTGACCTGTAGGGCTACCTGTGTGCTCCCTGACCTGTAGGGCTACCTGTGTGCTCCCCGACCTGTAGGGCTACCTGTGTGCTCCCCGACCTGTAGGGCTACCTGTGTGCTCCCTGACCTGTAGGGCTACCTGTGTGCTCCCTGACCTGTAGGGCTACCTGTGTGCTCCCAGACCTGTAGGGCTACCTGTGTGCTCCCTGACCTGTAGGGCTACCTGTGTGTTCCCTGACCTGTAGGGCTACCTGTGTGCTCCCTGACCTGTAGGGCTACCTGTGTGCTCCCTGACCTGTAGGGCTACCTGTGTGCTCCCTGACCTGTAGGGCTACCTGTGTGCTTCCTGACCTGTAGGGCTACCTGTGTGCTCCCTGACCTGTAGGGCTACCTGTGTGCTTCCTGACCTGTAGGGCTACCTGTGTGCTCCCTGACCTGTAGGGCTACCTGTGTGCTCCCTGACCTGTAGGGCTACCTGTGTGCTCCCTGACCTGTAGGGCTACCTGTGTGCTCCCTGACCTGTAGGGCTACCTGTGTGCTCCCTGACCTGTAGGGCTACCTGTGTGCTACCTGACTTGTAGGGCTACCTGTGTGCTCCCTGACCTGTAGGGCTACCTGTGTGCTCCCTGACCTGTAGGGCTACCTGTGTGCTCCCTGACCTGTAGGGCTACCTGTGTGCTCCCTGACCTGTAGGGCTACCTGTGTGCTCCCTGACTTGTAGGGCTACCTGTGTGCTCCTGGACCTGTAGAGCTACATGTGTGCTCCCTGACCTGTAGGGCTACCTAAGTGGTCCCTGACCTGTAGGGCTACCTGTGTGCTCCCTGACCTGTAGGGCTACCTGTGTGTTCCCTGACCTGTAGGGCTACCTGTGTGCTCCCTGACCTGTAGGGCTACCTGTGTGCTCCCTGACCTGTAGGGCTACCTGTGTGCTCCCTGACCTGTAGGGCTACCTGTGTGCTCCCTGACTTGTAGGGCTACCTGTGTGCTCCCTGACTTGTAGGGCTACTTGTGTGCTCCTGGACCTGTAGAGCTGCATGTGTGCTCCCTGACCTGTAGGGCTACCTGTGTGTTCCCTGACCTGTAGGGCTACCTGTGTGCTCCCTGACTTGTAGGGCTACCTGTGTGCTCCTGGACCTGTAGAGCTGCATGTGTGCTCCCTGACCTGTAGGGCTACCTAAGTGGTCCCTGACCTGTAGGGCTACCTAAGTGGTCCCTGACCTGTAGGGCTACCTAAGTGGTCCCTGACCTGTCGGGCTACCTAAGTGGTCCCTGACCTGTCGGGCTACCTAAGTGGTCCCTGACCTGTAGGGCTACCTAAGTGGTCCCTGACCTGTCGGGCTACCTAAGTGGTCCCTGACCTGTCGGGCTACCTAAGTGGTCCCTGATCTGTAGGGCTACCTAAGTGGTCCCTGATCTGTAGGGCTACCTAAGTGGTCCCTGATCTGTAGGGCTACCTAAGTGGTCCCTGACCTGTAGGGCAACCTGTGTGCTGCCTGACCTGTAAGGGGCTGCCTGTGTGCTGCCTGACCTGTAGGGCTCATTACCCCATAACCCCTTTCCATTTCCTTGCACCTTGTAAGTAAGCTCATTTAAAAAGAATAAAAAGGCACAATACCATTACTGGAACAGTAGAAAAATATCCCGCATGTAAGAGAAAACTCATGATGTTTCGGTCCGACTTAGACCATTAACCAGTCACGCTCTGGTCCAAATCGAACTGAAATATCTTAGTAAATTTCTTTCTCCTATGTGCAGGTTATTTGTGTAGTCTAAGTTTATTTACATAAAGGTACACATAAGTACAATTATTATACATAGTTTAACATATGTGTAAATTACCAAGGGTAACCCAAAAAAAATCAATAATTTATTTCCATTGAGGTCCTTGTACTTAATAAATGCTTGCGAGTTTAAATCTTCCCCGTAATTGCAATAACAGCATTTACTAATACGTAATGTGGATCATTGGTTTACAAGACATTTCAATTATTTGCAGCTTGGAGAAGGAGCAGACAGACGTGAGTCGTGTGTCACAGGAGTCTAGCCAGAAGGTGTTAGAACTTCAACGCAAGATCCACACAGCACGCGAACAGGTGAGCACAGCCAACAAGTTAGTACTCTGGGTTGGTAATCAATGACCATCCAGGGAGTAAGTAAATGTGTTTATTTAGGCATAGGTACACCTAAGTACAATTATCATACATAGAGTAAATTATCTTAGATAACCCAAAAGAATCCGACGGAGTGACTTACTTCCATTGGGGTCCTTGACAGCTACTACCATCCTGTCAAGTGAGTGTGAAATGGAAACCTTTTAATTTGTTTTGCACCCTGGCAGGATTGCTGAGTTTTACTTTCTCAGACGAACATGTAAGATGACAGGTAAATCTCATCAACCTCTACATACATTCAGTTGATACATTCCTTTTCTTTCCTGTGTACTTCTTAATAGTTCTTAACCTTGTAATATTCCCTTTCCCACCTAAGAGGTCTGGTCTGAGACCAAGTCATAGGGAAGATAATCAACAACACCACTTACAGATAACAGATCAATTTTTTTTTTTTGTAATTTTGATTTAAAGTAAACATTGTATGACATACGGATTGTTGATTGTATAAGATCGTGTGGAGTGTTAGCCAGTTGTACTGTAAACTTGTGTTGATAAACCTATTCACTTTTTGGATACAGTTTATGGAACCTATTTGGATTTGCCTTTTCACCCGATGCATAAAATAGTGGTACCTTGAGTTATGAACTTAATTCATTCCAGAAGGCTGTTCGAGTGCCAATACCAAACGAATTTGTTCCCATAATGAATAATGTAAATTAGATTAGTCCATTTCAGACCCCCAAAAAAACACTTACAAAAGCACTTACAAAAATACACTTACATAATTGTTCAAAACTCGAGGTGCCACTGTATAACCTTTGCATTTTGGTTTAATGTATGGGCCTACTTATAAATTTCTTAATACTGTACAGTATTACACATAGAGCAGATTAAAAAGTGATATTTTGTTATGTTACATTTTAACCCGTTCAGTCACACAGACAAAAGCACTTGTAAGTTTTATTTAGCCAAGAATTACCCATTAAAGCTAAAGACACAGTTTTTTCCATTGGTGTTTCCTCTAGGATGTGATTCACAGCATCCAAATAACGTCTAAATTCCTAAGCGCTGCTGGGTGAACATGACAGTAGGTTAAAGATGTGTATCCATCTCTCCCTTTCTTTCTATTTTTCTCATGCAACATGTTTTAAATGGTACATATAAGCTAGATTAGACCTAAGATTGTTTTATTTAGCTACATTTCATTTAAAATTAAAAATACGTAGTACAGTTCTGTACAGGTTACTTTTTTTTAATAACAGCTGTTTGACTTTGCACTAGATGAAGTGTGTATATACGTATATATTTCTCTGTGATGTCCAAGTATAGAAAAGACAGATGCTCTCGAAGCAAAATAATGCGTTTGCAGCTCAGTTTTGGTCATATTATACACTGGATATAAATGCATTAAAGAACATACAGAGAAGGAAGACCAGATTAATCCACTGTATAAGTAAACTCTCATAAGAGGATGGATTGAGAGCCTTGAACCTTCACTCTCTTGAGAGATGTATAATGTGGGGAGATATCATTAAAGTTTATAAGTGGAAGATGGACATAAACATGGCATTATAAATAAAGTACTGAGGATATCGAATCAAGAAAGAACTCAGAATACTGGATTTAAATTGGATGAGTTTAAAGCTAGAAAGAACATAGGTAAGTACTGGTTTTCAAATAGAGTTGTCGGTGAGTGGGACAGTCTATTTAGTAGTCATAGAAGCTAAACCCTTCTAGTTTTAAAAATAGGTTAGATAAATATACAAGTGAGAAGGGTTGGATTTGATTAGGACCCAAGGTATTGAAGCTAACTTATTAGGTAGCTTTGGGAATAGATTGGACAAATTCCTAGGTGGGAGTGGTTGGATTTGAGAAAGACTTGCCTAGTATGGGCCAGTAGGCCTGCAGCAGTGTTGCTCCATTCTTATGTTCTTTCAGCCAGTAATGATGCAGTATATCTCCACAGGTGCGTAAACTGCCAGGAGTGGAATACAGTCGGGAGGAGCAGCTACGTAGACTAGAGGCCCTGAGAAAGCAATTGGCTCTTAAGAAGCGTCTTCTGCTCAAATACAAAGCTAAGAGTGACATTCCCCATTAACCAGGTACTGTAAGCCTCTACACTTTATGCTAGTTGCCTCTACCCCCTTTTATGTTGCTGCCCATAAGGGTTGAGTGCCCATTCCTATTGCATTACATTAGTGGCCTTCTTTTGTGCCTACTTTTGTATCAAATTGTGTACATATATCTACTACGGTCTTTGTATGGCTCATGAGAAATAAAAAATTAATTATAATTTTAATTTTAAGGTGTTAATGAGCCAACACATTCTCAAGCATTGGTGTTATCACAACTTTTCCTCCAAATATTCTGCTCATCTTTTGACACATTTACAAGCATATATTTTGGAAAAAGTGTAAATCAAGCACAAAATCAAATAATTATTTGGAATTAAGTTACTATACTTTAACCTAAATTAGCTAAAATTTACCTATACCCTGCTATTTAAAGCCACCAATTACCAGATCCATAAACAGGAAGGAGGGTGGTGGTGGCAGGTGACACACCATCAAATTGATTGAAACCAAATACTCACTATGCATGGTATGAGGACTGGCTGGTTATTGCCAAATTGCAGGTGGTATTTAACCTCAAAGCTTTACAAACCACTCAAAGTTACTACCACATTTAATATTACTGTATAGCAACACACAGGTACCACAAAAAAACCTCAAAGGAGGTTCCTTGATGCTGGTGAGGGGCTCTTGATCTAAAGAATTGTACAAGTGCTCCAATTCCTGGTGCTGTATGATTCCGAGTATAGTGCTCGCCCCATAAATGTAATAATAACAATAATATTTAAAGAAATAGTTAGATATTCCCATAAAATGTATATCTTAGGTACTGACTTGGGCATTTTTTTTTATTTTGTAGTGAAGTGGGAGTTGTCACAGCTGCTCTTTGCTGATGACACTGTGCTCTTGGGAGATTCTGAAGAGAAGTTGCAGAGATTGGTGGATGAATTTGGTAGGGTGTGCAAAAGAAGAAAATTAAAGGTGAATACAGGAAAGAGTAAGGTTATGAGGATAACAAAAAGATTAGGTGATGAAAGATTGAATATCAGATTGGAGGGAGAGAGTATGGAGGAGGTGAACGTATTCAGATATTTGGGAGTGGACGTGTCAGCGGATGGGTCTATGAAAGATGAGGTGAATCATAGAATTGATGAGGGAAAAAGAGTGAGTGGTGCACTTAGGAGTCTGTGGAGACAAAGAACTTTGTCCTTGGAGGCAAAGAGGGAATGTATGAGAGTATAGTTTTACCAACGCTCTTATATGGGTGTGAAGCGTGGGTGATGAATGTTGCAGCGAGGAGAAGGCTGGAGGCAGTGGAGATGTCATGTCTGAGGGCAATGTGTGGTGTGAATATAATGCAGAGAATTCGTAGTTTGGAAGTTAGGAGGAGGTGCGGGATTACCAAAACTGTTGTCCAGAGGGCTGAGGAAGGGTTTGTTTGAGGTGGTTCGGACATGTAGAGAGAATGGAGCGAAACAGAATGACTTCAAGAGTGTATCAGTCTGTAGTGGAAGGAAGGCGGGGTAGGGTCGGCCTAGGAAGGGTTGGAGGGAGGGGTAAAGGAGGTTTTGTGTGCGAGGGGCTTGGACTTCCAGCAGGCATGCGTGAGCGTGTTTGATAGGAGTGAATGGAGACAAATGGTTTTTAATACTTGACGTGCTGTTGGAGTGTGAGCAAAGTAACATTTATGAAGGGATTCAGGGAAACCGGCAGGCCGGACTTGAGTCCTGGAGATGGGAAGTACAGTGCCTGCACTCTGAAGGAGGGGTGTTAATGTTGCAGTTTAAAAACTGTAGTGTAAAGCACCCTTCTGGCAAGACAGTGATGGAGTGAATGATGGTGAAAGTTTTTCTTTTTCGGGCCACCCTGCCTTGGTGGGAATCGGCCGGTGTGATAATAATAATAAAAAAAATATTTTTATTATTATTATCACACTGGCCGATTCCCACCAAGGCAGGGTGGCCCGAAAAAGAAAAACTTTCACCATCATTCACTCCATCACTGTCTTGCCAGAAGGGTGCTTTACACTACAGTTTTTAAACTGCAACATTAACACCCCTCCTTCAGAGTGCAGGCACTGTACTTCCCATCTCCAGGACTCAAGTCCGGCCTGCCGGTTTCCCTGAATCCCTTCATAAATGTTACTTTGCTCACACTCCAACAGCACGTCAAGTATTAAAAACCATTTGTCTCCATTCACTCCTATCAAACACGCTCACGCATGCCTGCTGGAAGTCCAAGCCCCTCGCACACAAAACCTCCTTTACCCCCTCCCTCCAACCCTTCCTAGGCCGACCCCTACCCCGCCTTCCTTCCACTAAAAAAAATAATCTTCTATTAATATATGATTGACCTTTCTTCTTTTTTCCACCACCATGTTTTCCTTGCTACCTTTTTTCCAACCTCTTCCTTCTCTCCCTCTATACTCCCAGCACCACCTCTCCGTGTTTATTGCTTGATAAACATGAATGGTGAATAACAATTCTGTTTTAGTTTTAGTGAATAAGCATTAGAAGCTGAATGCAGTACCTTGTACAACAGCAGACAAGGGGACAGTGGAGTAGAATATAAATGCCCTAATACGCTGTAAAAATTATAAGCAAAATGTCACAGATATTAGATTGCTGGCAAGGTCATGTGAATATATAAAAGATTAAAAGTAGCTACTGTAGTACCGAACGAGCTATTAAATATCTAAATACTGTACTGAAAAAGCTGGGTAATTTTTATATACAGTACCTGTTCAGGAAGAAGGTAGGGTAGATGATAGCTGGGATTCTTGGAGGGAGAATAGTTTGTAAGAGTAATGGGAAATGTAGAGGTGAAAGGTTTTGCCAGGTCATAATCATGCGCCTTAAGAAATATTAAGAGAGCATGTTGTGTAATTGTTTCTATGAGGATTTTTTAAGGTTAGGTTAGATATCAGGATTGAAAAGCTGCAGTTATTGCTCAGTGCCTTATATTAAAGGAAAAAAGAGAAATTGTAAAATTTAATGCGTGTAGATACGCAGTGGAGAATGTATGAGCTACTCTGGGTACTAAAATATTTAGGCTGGTTGCCAATCTTGTTAACATTTTATCTTTATTTTCAGCATTGTTTGTGCTATGGTGCTGCGATACCTTCTGAATAGACTACTGAACAACTCGGAGGTGATAGATAGACTGGCAGAGTCTTATCCCATTCGACGTGCTGCGCAGCTTACTGCTTATGCCTTTCAACGCAGTAAAGAAGCAATAGAATCAGGAGCTACAAAACGTGTAGGACAGTTTCGGAGTGATTTTATGAAAGAGGTTAAAGAAGGATTTAAGAAGATTCAGGAAGAAAATCAACGTAAGCAAAATTAGGAAGAAATTTGAATACAGTAGTGGAGGAAATCTGTAGTATTGAGGTGGTTGTTTGTGTACTCTCGCACTTAGGAGATTGTGTGGATAGACACTGTCACGGCATCAGAAAAGTGTGGCTATTCTGAAGTCTGTATTTAATAACAGCTTATGGGGGCCAACAGTTCTCAGTTGCCGCCTGCAGACACCAGCATGCCTGTAGGAGGCATCGCCGAAGGTCACATTAACACAGCGGCTGAGGACAAGAAGCCAAAGTGCAAGGCATGCTGTGCCTGCCCAGAGACTAAGCAAGCAAGAGATGCATGTATTGTAGAGAATGGTGCAGAAAACTGCCAAGATCTTATAGAGGCTCATAAAAAATGCATGAGAGAGATGGGTTTTAATATTTAGTATTTCCCAGCAGTGATACTGTATATTAGTATGGTCATGTTGAATGAGGAATAATTTATCATTTTTGTGTTTGTGCATTTGCAGGTGTGGAACAATGGCAACCATTCAGTTAATGAATAGTGTTGAGTGAGGATTGATGAGCTGTCAGAATAATGGCGACAACATCTCAGAAGCACACGCTCTTTGTTGCTGAGCCTATGGGAGATAAGCCTGTGACAGAACTGGCTGGTATTGGAGAAGTTCTGGGCAGGAGACTAGAGAATCGAGGCTTTGATAAAGCTTATGTAGTTCTTGGTCAGTTTCTTGTTCTCAAGAAGAATAGAGAGTTATTTTTAGAGTGGTTGCAGGACTTGGTGGCAGCCAATTCCAACCAAGCATCAGAGTGTTATCAGTGTCTTGCTGACTGGTGCAGCGAGTTTCTGTAACATTGAAATCTTTAGATAATGGTACTTTTTTCATGTCTATGAAGCTCTTTTTGAGTTAATTTTATTTCTCTGAACTTTGGATTTATATTTCCAAGTTAAGAAAGTTCACCATATCGTGAAGTTATCCTTGTGTTAGTGGATGCATTGAATGTAATGGTAACCATGTCGCACAAAGGCCACTCAATTGTGACTATTGAGTCTATAGACTCTGACCTTGAGATGCTACTACCCAAGCAAGGCTCTATGACTGATTACTGCTACAACATTTGCTCATTTATATGGCCTTACTTTTCCGTGGCCAACTATAAGCTCCCGTACAGAATATTATCTTCCCTGGCACCACCTGTTGTATTTCCTGAGTTCCGTCGTGTTCATTCTGACATGAAAGGTCCAGTATGGGTGGTGACCACACTTGCTCTGATCCTATTGTATGGTATTCATAGTCCAGCTAGAACACTAGTTGGAGAACTACTAATTGCCACTAAATTAACTCTTGGGTACTGGTTAGGGTTTTCCTTGGTTGCTTTCTTTCTTGGTTACTTTTGCCAGACGTGCCTGACCCTGTCCCAGTTAGTGTCAATCTCTGGCTACAGCTTAACTGGCCATTGCCTTGTGTTGCTTACAGCAGAGGTTCTGCACCAGGAGAACAGTCACAGCATGTTTTTCTTTCTGACCACTGTGTTTGGGGGACTTGCCACTGCTAGACTGGTCATAATCATTTTGGCGAGGACCCCAGGACCTGCTCAGAGGCTGCTCATGTGCTCCACGCTAGCCAGCATTCATCTTATGCACTTAATTTACATACATTTTGCTTGTATGAGGAAACAATTTGACCTATAAATTAAATGTAAAGTATCAAGTATCCTGCTGCAGGAAAAGTTTGTACATATTGTAGAATACAGACAATTTTCCACAGATGTATTGTCGGTTACAGTAGATGTTAGGTGAATGGATAAACAAACGCTAATTTATTAATGGATAGTTTTGGTCACTGCATATCACAGCTACTGTTAATGATGGCGAGGCAGTAAAGTGAATGTGGCCACTACTTGATGTAAGAAAGTGAGAGGCAATTTGTGAATATTTTAACACCATTAAAGGTTGAAACACAAGAGATTGCTCCCAGAAGTTCCTTGTTGCTGTTACTGCAAATGTAAAAAGTTATTTCACTGAATAAAGCAAGAAAGTTATTGAACTGTTTTATTAACTCTTGAGTGTAGCACCCTTGAAGGAAACCGTAATAATAGCATGCTAATGCATATTATAATAGTTATTATACAGAAATGTGACCAACCGTTTGTTGGCTGTTCTGTGTCCCTTCAAAGGAGGTTCCTAGATGTAGGTAAGGGGGCTCTTGGTCTAAGGAATTGGACTGAACCTGAATGCCTTCCATTCTCCCAGGTGCTGTAGGGTTTAGTGTTCCCTCATAAATGTAGCAAGGTTTCAGCTTAATTATTATATTATGGTGAAGGAGTGGAGCTTTAAAGCTGTAGGGGTCATACAGCTCCTGGAAAGAGGGAGGAGGCAATCAGGTTTGATCCAAGGAGAAGTGATAGTCAAATTCCTTGACTCAAGAGCTCCTCACCACCAAGGAACCTCCCTCGAATGGTCCAGATTCATCGGCTACCCAGTTTATTCCCTTAAAGGAAGGCGCCTTGCTGCCAGTCATAATTTCTCTTCGTGTAACACTGATATTAGTGTTTACGATTATAACCTTAATGACATAAAGGTTGTGGTAATAATGAATACATTGTGTAAGCAATGGCTCACAGATTTGATATAGGAACATGTCACTAAAGAATTTCAAGGATAGGAACAATGGGGCCCTTTTAGTGTCAGTGAAGGGCTCTTAATCTAAGGTATTAGGGCTACCTTCCCCTTAGATCAAATCTAATTACTTACCATTTCCCAGGTGTTGCATGATTCCTGCAAGTTTGGCACTATGAATATAATAAATGGCAAGAGGTAGAAATAAAACAAAATGTACAGAAATACTTCTTGTTGGTTCAAGTTTTGGACACAATGGTGTACATGACTAGACAAAACAACACAGACAGGATGATTTGTTACACAGAATGACCCCAAGACTGAATGCCTTTTGCACTTTGGTCGCATGTGATTGTGATGGTAGGCTGAATGCTGATATTTTCCAAACTTGGGAGTCACCTACACTAAATCTAGAGTATGGACATGAGCTACCATTCTCCTTAGTTTCTAGATTGAATAAACACCATAAAATATACTTCATTCTAAAGTATTCATCATAAAAATTTCAGATATACATTTTACAATAGTAGCAAAAGTATGAAAAAAGTAAAACAGACTGGTGTCAGAGTTTGGATTGTTTAGTGTCTAACCAATGGGAAGGCAACGTACGCTCCATGTGGCCATTCCAACACTAATACTCTTTTAAAGCACAATAAATATCATAATCTAGAAGATATAAATAATTTTAGATATTTTGTAACTACAACATTAAGTTCAGTTTCATGTACAGTGGAGATATTTGCAGTATGGAGGGGCATCTGAACTATAGTATCAGTGCACCTCTGGCAAGATAATGAGGGTGAATGATGATAAAAATATTTCTTCTTTTTCAGTCACCCTACCTCAGTAGATGGCCAATGTGTTAAAAAAAAAAAATTAAATTATAAATTTTTTTTCCTAACACAGTGGCTGTCTCCCACTGAGGTTGGGTGACCTGAAAAAGAAACACTTTCACCATCATTCACTCCAAGGCAAGCAGATACTACAGTTCAACTCAGAATAGGTGACATACAGTAGATTACTGTGTACATTGGAACCTTAGGAAGGTAAAAATAGTGTTACGACTTTATACAAATAAAAGACCTCCAAGGGCAAACTTGCGTAATATTTGGTAGTAGGTAAAGTTTGCTATCAAACAGGTTTAGCTCTTAACATCAATGTAGCAATATTAATAAGAGTGGTTGCTTCACTGTACAAGTTGGCACAGTGCAGGATATGTATAAACTGGGAACAAGTGTCAAGGGAAGAAAACACACTACATGAGGGATCAGAATGGTTGAACTAAACAATCCCAACTTAAGGGATGGGGACAGTTATATGTTCCTGGCTTATCTTATTTCAAACATTCCAAGAGGTCAGTCCTAGAAAAATATGCACAATGTACTGACCAATGTAAAAATTATATACGTATAATTTATATATTTATATATATATATTTCATACTTATATATATATTTATTTATATATTTTTGTAATCTCAATAATAATGCGGTGTTAAAAGAATGCGCATCACAGACTCAGAAAGACATAGAAGATATACAGTACTTGGCTGCTGCACTCAAGAACCTGATTTAGTTTGAGAAACTCTGCTCCATCATCATAATAATAATAATAATAATATTAATCTGCTTCTCCAGCCAATTCACTGGTCCAACTATGAGCACAAGTTATTTATAAGAATACCAAAAAATCTGGTGCACAGCTTAAAATGGCTTCATGTAAGTGTTTGGATAACTGGGTTTAAATCAAACTAACAGAGGCTGCAAGCAGCAATTATTTACATAAATCTTTCGTGATCATACTGGTTATTCAATTTGCTATATTAACAAAGACAGTTGCTTGTGTATTAATAAAAACACTATGCTCCACTTCCTTAACAGAAAAAATTACATGCAGAGTGATAGGATTTAAAAGTCGAGCCATTGATGAATTATATGAAGTCACTCAAGTTTAATCGACTAACTCAATGTAAATTGAACACACGTTTACATTAACCAACAAACTTGAATGCTTTCCAGCACAATAATGTGATCCCCAATTTCACTTCAGCATTTAATATAAAAATTAAGCTGACATTTGGTGATCATCTGATAAGAATTATTGGTAATCCTGTACCCTCAATATGTATAAAGAGCAGCACACTCAGGTACATATCAACCCTACGTCCAGCAGCAGCTACAGTTCACCACACCCTGAGATGTACCATATTGTGGAAAATCATGTCCAGCAGCAGCTACAATTCACCACACCCTGAGGCGTACCATATTGTGGAAAATCATGCCTAGCAGCAGCTACAGTTCACCATAACCTGAGCAGATGGTTCAGATCATGAATGTTGAATGTGAGGTTTGCCTCTTCCAGAGAGCACAGGAAAGGTTATATTACAGTAGCTCAGCTCACACCATGTCAGGTGAGAACAACAGCTTCCTTCATGGCTTGTATCCACCTGCAAACAAAATGTAAATCTGTATTCCAATTAAATATAACACTGTATATACCTCAAAAATAGTCCAATTTATTACATACTCTTATAGTATTATACAGTAATTGCTTAGGGCAAAGTTACCAGTGTTATATTAAATTAACGGAAGAGTATCTCTTAGTAGATCCCCTTTAGGGGCTTTTGATCCAAGGAATTGGACCTGTGTTCTCTTTGCATCAGTCCTAAATGCCTCCCAGTCCCCAGGCACTGTACGATCCTATGAGTTCAGTCCTTTCCCATGAGTGTGATGATAATACAGTATTACAGAGTACAGTAATTGTTTAGGGTAAAGTCAATAATATTTTGTAATTCAGTTAATGGTAGAGTATCTCTTAATAGACCCTCAGGGAAACTTCCTTGATGCTGGTGAGGGGATCTTGATCTCAGGACTTGGATCAATACTCTCCTTCTTTGAATCAAGCTTGAATGCCTTCCATTCCCCAAGCAACATATAACCTTGTGTATTTAGCTCTCCTCCCATGATTGTAAAAATAATAATACTGTAATAATAATGATAATAATAAAAATCTCTCAATAGATCTTTGAGCAAACATACTGTATTATTACCTATTACATTCGTGGGGAAGCACTACACCTGTAGGGGTCACATTAGAACCTTGGGGAATGGGAGGCATTCAGGTTTGATTAAAGGAAGGGAAGGACAGGTCCAGTTCCTTAGATTAAGAGCCCCTCACCAGCATCAAGGAGTCTCCCTTGAGGGGCTTTATCACATAATTCAAGTGTCTGGTTTCAAAGCTTGATATCAAAATTCTTAATCATTCAAATAACTTTTAGACAAAAATTGAATGTATAATTCATACTTCTTTGCCAGATGTGGAGTATCAGCATGGAAGACAAGAGGTGGTTGGTTGGTGTGGGTCAACTGGAAGGTCAAACAAGCATCCACACCATCTGCCTCCTCCCTCACCTGAAAGTATAAATACTTTGTCAATGCTTGGTAAAAGCAATGTTAGCATTACAGGCTATGTCAGTGCTTAGTAAAAGAAACATCAATGTTGCAGGCTATGTCAGTGTTCAGTAAATGTAATGTCAGTATTACAGACTGTAAATTCTTGATATAAGTTACAACACTGATTGACAGGCTACAGCAGCTGTTTTAAACTGTAGGACTGGCATGCCTCTGGCAAGACAATGATGGAGTGAGTGATGCAACCTTTTGCATGGCTTCAACGATGTAACCGAGTACAGGCAGACTCTGCAGAGCGCACACATCCTGTGGTGCTCGGTACTCGTACAACACTCGGTCTTTGAGCACGAACCATCCTCTGTGCCACGATCTTCTGACCATCATCCTGAGATAACCGCACATCTGAGAGGAAGCATCACTAGCACATACCTGAAATGTAGAAAAAATAAGGTAAAGATAAATACAGAATAAAACATGCAAGTGGTCCTTGTCTTCACACATGCCAAATAGTGGATTACTACTGAACAGCAACTCCCTATCAAAAACATCTTACAGTACAGTATTTCCATACATTCTGACTTTGTTTCTTTTTAGGTCACCCTGCCTTGTTTCTTTTTACATTTAGTAATTTATACAGGAGAAGGGGTTACTAGCCCCTCGCTCCCAGCATTTTAATCACTTTTTACATCATGCATGGCTTACAGAGGAAGCATTCTTTTACGTTTTCCACTTCCGTATGGAGAGCTTAGTTATTATTGCACAGTTTAAGATCCTTTATGTTACACAAGAGTACGGTGGAACCTTGGTTTTCATATACCCTAGTTTACCTGGAGACAATTCTTGGAGAAAATTCTCTATAAAAAAATTTTTGTTAATATTTTTGGGTGTTTGGAACAGAACCAATTAATCTGTTCCAGACACCCAAAAATATTAACAAAAAATACATTTTATAGAGAATTTTTTTTCCAAGAATTGTCTCCAATTAGGGCATACAAAAACTGAGGTTCCACTGTAGTATATGAACAGTATTGCTCTTGGACCCAAGTTAGCATCAGAGGATCAAGCACCACCAAACCTTGTGATGAATGACACGCACAGGTATAGCTCTTCACATACAGTACAGACATGCAGATACAATATTGTATACTGTATGTTAGCAGTACACATGTATGTTCAGGAGAAACTTTTGTTTCTCTTTTTTGGGCCACCCTGCCTTGGTGGGATACGGCCAGTTTATTGAAAAAAAAAAAAGTATGTTTAGAAAAATGACAAAAGCTAATAAATTTTTCATCGCATTAGTCTCACATACCTCCATCAATCTCTCAGGAACTCTCTTCTTGATGCGATTTCTACTGCTTTCCCGGATCCCCTTCTTGAATTGAGCCTTGAGGCTGGACACTCGTCTTATTTTGTCTCCCTGCTGGTCCTCCTGAACTGCTGAGCCTTCATATCTGTGCTCAAAATCTTTCTGAAGGATTTCAAAACAGGTATCACAGACTCGCGCTGTCTGGTTCTTTTTATACTGTAAAGGAGCACGGTTGGCCGAACAGTGATCGCATACTACCTATGAATAACAACAAATCTTTGGATAAGCTTCCCTATAATATGAAAAAATAATAAAAGTATACATGGTACTATACTGTATTTCAAAGAATTCTCAAGTGAGCACGCATTATAGATTGTACCTTGCCACAAGCACGACAGTGATGTCTGCGGAAAGTGAGAGTGAATTCTGCTGTGCACTGCTGACACATTGTTACTCTGTAGTCGGGAATCCATACAGGAGCCTGTCAAGCACTTAATTTTAGTATTGTATTAGGAACAGTGAATGAGTAATTATTGTTATTGTATAAGGAAGTTTTCAAAACTTTCATGAAATTCATCTATACAAAGTCAGGTAGGAGAAACAAAATTAATCCTAGATTTGAAAGCTTTTTCTAAAATTTATAATGTAATTTTACTATTACTACTGTCATCATTAAAGAATATTTTAAAATTACTGTACCTGTTTTCCAAGTGTAGAGGTAGACGGTTGCCGATAGACAAATGTCTTGGCCTGCAAGAAGGTAGATCTGCGCGAGGCATTATCCTCTATTGCTTCACGTAGTGCCACTATCCATTCATCTCGTTCTTCTGCCGTGCTGTGAACACATTTTTGCAACAATCAATGACTTTGCTTAAAACATTTATAACTGTTATATAAATATCTGTTATATAAACTATTTATAATAAGACCATTAATACTTAGTCTCAATGAATATCAGAATGGCAGAAAAATGTACAGGTACGTATCCGAATTTCTAAGATGATACACTGTCAATTTACAGTACAACTTTGGTACCTTCCCTCTGAAATCTCTTGATGAGACTGCTCTATGTAGAATCTTTAATGAAGGTGGGGATCATCATGTAAAAATTTTTAACAGAGAAGCAGTAGTCTCGTGTAGTCATTCTTGAGGTGGGTATCTTGGGAATCTTAAAATTTTACAACACTCACCACTATGATATATTTTAGATGAGATTTCCCATTCAAGGAAGATCCTACATTAGATGACAAGAGAGCAATCTCATAAAAATATTTTGAGGGGGTTCTTTCTTTTAAATATTGGCCATATCCTATCAAGGCTCCAACCTTTCCACCTATTTTCAGTGCAGGCACTGTACTTCCCAACCTCCAAAACTTAAGTCCGGTAATCCATTATCTCCACTCAATGCACAAACATATGCCTGATATATGTTCAATTCTTACCTCTCAATCCCTCTTTGATACATTCTTTTAAACTCCACTTCAAATCAAGGGAGGTGCTAATGAGGGGATTGCCTCCCACTTCCCAGGAAATGTATGACCCCCTATTGGTTTAGCAGTTCCCCATGATGTCTTCTACATTTTCCTTCCATCATAGAATTATACACTGTTATCACTATCTTCCTCCCTTATATCTCCCTAGACAGTTGCAATCTATTAGTCCCCCTACCTTTGTTATTTATGCTTACCTTGCTTGAAGGGTAAAGGAACGTGAGGTTGATATGACACTAAACTCATTCTTAAATTCCTCAGCTTTTGGTGTCTCTACTTTCATTCCTTCCAAGGTAAGTTCGTAGTTGAGTCGGAGTGCTCCACCTGGGCCACTGGTGACAAAGCTCGTATACAGGAGAACATCTGATAACTGAAATGTATATTTTTTAAAACCTGTCTCTTATCTTTTGCAGCTAATAGCCTGAAACAAGATGAAAAAATATCAACAACTACACACCTGAAAAAGATTTATTTTAAGATACAGTACACGTATTGTAGTTCTTTGTATATAATACTTTTGGTACTGTTCGACAAATATAACCATGATACTGTACTAACTTCCTGTCACATTGCAGTGGACAAAGGATAGTACTGAAAAGACCAGCTGACTTGTCTTTGATCTTTTTCCTACATAACATTTCCAGTTTTGATGGGCAAGTGTTAGGCTACCCATTAAAAAAGGGGAAACTGAGTAATGATATTTTGGAGGCTAAATATTTTTTATTACAGAAAAAGTTCTTAGGCCTGGGATTTTCATTTGTTCAGGTGACACACTTTCTCTTTGATTTGTAAAATAGACACTACCCAAAATTTTGAACTTTGACAAAGTCAAGGGGTTTCAAAGTTTGTTATCAAATTTCTTATGTGGACACATGATTATCACATGAAACTCATATTATTAGTACGTAGTAGCCTTATTACTAATATTATTACTGTGTACGTAATATATGGAATGTGATGCTATTCTGTCATCTCTTTCTGAGTCATGACTGCAGCTTGACTCAGAATAGTAACATGATAGTATGTTATATAAATCTGCTATGCCATGTCATGCCTGTGTTATGTGATCATGTGCTAGCTGAGAGGCAAAAAGCTCTCAAGGTTTTCACTGACCCTTGTTGCTGGGTTGCAAATATTTCCACAAGTTTATAAATATTTCAGTGCAGAAGCCTTGAGTGTTCCTTAAAGTCTGTTTTGTTCATAAATGATCAGACAGTTGGTAGGAGAGGAATTCATACCTAATTAATGCTATGTACTTAAATTACACTCATCTTCTTTATAATTCTTTATTATACATTTGATATAATACAGTGATGGAGTGAATGATGGTAAAAGTTTTTCTTTTTTGGGCCACCCTACCTTGGTGGGAAATGGCCGATGTGTTAATAAATAATATAATTTCACATACATCTGGTGTGAGATATGTTAAGAAGCTGGAAAAATTTCAGAAGTATGCAACAAGACTAGTTCCAGAGCTAAGGGGTACGAGTTATGAAAGGCTAATAGAACTGAATCTAGTAACACTGGAAGACAGATTTTAAACCAGGGAAGACATGATAATAACTTTCACAATACCCAGAGGAACTGACAGTGTAATTTGAAATAAACTGTTTGAGAGGCCAGAAACAGGTCATTTGGGGCATAGCTGGAAGCTAGACACAGGAGCCACAGGGTTATCAGGGTTTTTCAGTCTCATGGTTGTCAGGAATTGGAATGTCTTGACAAGGAAGTGGTGGAGATAGACTCCATACATAGTTTTAGAAGTAGGTATGATAATGCCCTTGTACAAGGCTACGGAGGTGGAGGAGAATCTGTTAAGAGATAAATAAGAGGCCAAGAACTAAGATGAACCCTGCAACCACAAATATGTGAGTACCCCCACTCGCCCACCACAGACGCACTGTAGAATACACAAGTACTCTTCTTTCAAGGGAACCCCTTGTGGTGAAGTGTTCTCTAATTGAAGAACTTGACAAGCCCCTCCCTGTCCTCAGATCATTCCTGAACATTCCCACCTCCACTATATTATACGTGTATTATTATTATTTTGTGATTATTTCTGTATTGTGACGTGTGTCTTAGAACTAATTACTGATATGGTTTGAGGAATAGGTCTAATTTATTTAGTTTTGTTTTGGTTTTATTATGATATTGACAGAAAATAACTGACAATAGCAGCAAGTTGATCATGATAGTAAATGGTAGTTAAAGCGGCAACACCTGATAATGTCATTAACTTTTATGTTCAAAACATTGAATAACGAAGTTGTAGTTCTATTTAAATCATACAGATAAAAATACAAAGTAATGTATAATATTTTAACAAAAGAGTGCTACAGTTTCCTTTACAGATTAAGAGAAAACATCCCTTCGGAGTGAGGATGTTACCAAACATCATAGTTCATTCAACTAGAATCAGTTCCATACATAAATTATTATACATTACATTCTTTTAAGCCACATAAACATAAATATTGTGATATAATATCAAGTCATTCCTAGTTTGATAAATAGCTGAAAGTAGTACTGTGTATTTAAGATACTTATTTTTAAGATACTGACAGTTCCTCCCACAGATTGATGATCTAAAGAAAAAACATTCAGTGTTACTCTTGCTCTTACTGTCTTTCCATGAGTGAGTGAACATCATCATGCCTTGATGCTAGTACAGGACTTTTGATACTATACCTGGATACCTGGAGGTTATTCCGGGGATCAACGCCCCCGCGGCCCGGTCCATGACCAGGCCTCCCGATGGATCAGGGCCTGATCAACTAGGCTGTTACTGCTGGCCGCACGCAGTCCGACGTACGAGCCACAGCCCGGCTGATCCGGCACTGACTTTAGGTATCTGTCCAGCTCTCTCTTGAAGGCAGCCAGGAGTTTATTGGCAATTGCAAACTAAATTACAAAGAGGGAACACCATGAATATTTCTATCCCTGTCACCATAAACAGGTAATTACACAGATTCAAGGAGCAAGTCATCACATACCAGGATGAAATACCTGGGTTGCATCTCCCTGCGGCAGAGTTTAAGAAGTTCTCCCTCCTTGAGTAAGTATCTACCAGGACGCACCAACTCACACCGTGGACCTCTGCTACTGCTGCTATCATGGTCTCCACTGCTGCTGCTACTCAGACGGTCCTGCAGTGCCAGCAGCTTCATAAAGTTGTTCTGTAAAACAATAACTGTTCAGTTTCACAAGGAACTGTAAGGACCCCAATGGACATGAGTCACTTTGACTATTTTGGGGTTATCTTAGATTATATAATTTACACTATGTATGATAATTATACTTATGTGTACCTGTACCTAAATAAACTTACTGACCTTGACCTGCTGACCCCATGGGCAGGCACATCAACACTCAATACATTCCTTCAACTTGCTTATCTTTATTTCATCTCACAGTAAATATCATGGTCTCAGCTTTATCCCACTAAGTTGTATCAATTACTATTACTGTATATTTATGCAAAGCACTAAACCCGTGTCGACCACTCAGCAAAAGTAGAACGTAATTGAAGCTTGTTCTAGAAACAGCACAATTCACACTGTGTAAGCTGCAGAATGTATCTTAGCTAAATCTTCAGTCCCAAAGGTGACATACTTGTAACCACTTTCAAAGGTTTTGGGGCGGTGAAAAAGAAAAGTGAGAGAGGAACTTTACCAGATGGCCTAAGGCCAAAATTAATTTCTGACTGCCTGATCAGCTAGGCTGCTGCTGCAAGTGGCTGAAGACCTAATTAGCTATCACAGCATTCCTGGTTATATTCACAAAAAGTGGAAATATCCCCAATGAGGGAAAAAATGTGAGGGATATTGGGGTATTTTAATCTGATCCAAGGAAGGGGAGAAGAGTTTTGATTCCTCTTGATCCAGAGCCCCTGACAGGACTCCCCATGAAGGGGTTAATACTGATGAAGGGCTTTTGAACCAAGGAGCTGGAGCTATTTTTTTTCTTGGAAGCAAAGCTAATTTCCTCTCATTCCCAGGTGCTATGCAATACTGTTAAGTGAACATGGACAGCAGGTGCAAGAAGACTTGCCCAAACTCGACCCACCAGGGAATCGAACCAGGGCCCTTTCTGTTCATCCAAAGGCTCTGTCCACTGTGCCACAAGTCAGAGGAGCAGAAGTGAGGGAGGAAGTGAGTGTCCTATGAGGAGCTGGAGTGAGGAAGAGCATATTAAGAGAGCGTTGGGGCGGGAGAGTGAACTAGCTGCAGTCAGCTTAGGGTTGGTTAGTTACCAGGATGGTAGTTAGTAGGTTTACTGAGGCACAGGTATACATAAGTACAATTATCATACGTAGAATAAATTACCTAGGATAACTAAAAAAAGTCACACAGTTATTTCCATTAGGGTAAAACCAATCAGTATGACTAATTGCATTGGGGTCCTTATGTGTTTAAGTTGGTTCCCACAACAGTATTTACTGATACATAAGAGGGCCAGCAGGTGTTAGGAGACTTGTCCTGGTATGACGTGACCTACACTATGTATAATGATTGTCCCCTGAATGGTAGTGTCTTGCCCAGGTATGAGATGACCTACACAATGTATAATGACTGACCCTTGAATGGTAGTGTTGGGTGATACAATGTTCTAGTGTTGGGTGACTCCCACTGTTCTAGTGTTGGATGACCCACTGTTCTAGTGCTGGGGACTCCCACTGCTCTAGTGTTGGGCAACTCCCACTGTTCTAGTCTTGGATGACTCCCACTGTTTTAGTGCTGGGTAACTCCCACCACTCTAGTGTTGGGTGACTTCCACTAGTGTTGGATGACTCCCACTGTTTTAGTGTTGGGTGACTTCCACTGTTTTAGTGCTGGGTGACCCACTGTTCTAGTGCTGGGTGACCCACTGTTCTAGTGCAGGGGACTCCCACTGCTCTAGTGTTGGGTGACTCCCACGTTCTAGTCTTGGATGACTCCCACTGTTCTAGTGCTGGGTAACTCCCACTGTTCTAGTGCTGGGTGACCCCCCACTGTTCTACTGTTGGGTGACCCACTGTTCTACTGTTGGGTGACCCACTGTTCTAGTGCTGGGGACTCCCACTGCTCTAGTGTTGGGTGACTCCCACTGTTCTAGTCTTGGATGACTCCCACTGTTCTAGTGCTGGGTAACTCCCACTGTTCTAGTGCTGGGTAACTCCCACTGTTCTAGTGCTGGGTAACTCCCACTGTTCTAGTGCTGGGTAACTCCCACTGTTCTAGTGCTGGGTAACTCCCACTGTTCTAGTGCTGGGTAACTCCCACTGTTCTAGTGCTGGGTAACTCCCACTGTTCTAGTGCTGGGTAACTCCCACTGTTCTAGTGTTCGGTGACCCACTGTTCTAGTGCTGGGTGACCCACTGTTCTAGTGGTGGGTGACCCACTGTTCTAGTGGTGGGTGACCCACTGTTCTAGTGTTGGGTGACCCACTGTTCTAGTGTTGGGTGACCCACTGTTCTAGTGGTGGGTGACCCACTGTTCTAGCGGTGGGTGACCCACTGTTCTAGTGTTGGGTGACCCACTGTTCTAGTGTTGGGTGACCCACTGTTCTAGTGTTGGGTGACCCACTGTTCTAGTGGTGGGTGACCCACTGTTCTAGTGATGGGTAACTCCTACCACTGATATTCCAATATTACCAGAGATAAACGTACAAATTTGGTTTGGTGGTGGTGCTGTGTCAGCTTTACCAGACATCGTGACCGTTTGCTTAATTACATCATTTGTGGTTCATTTGTGCGTTACGTTTATTCACTCTAAGACAGCCTACATATGTGTCTAGATATAAAGACAAAACAATAATGACCCGAATGGAAATATATCACCTAGTTTATGAACATTAGGAAAGGAAGAACATACAGCAGGCCCACTGGCCCATACTAGGCAGGTTCTTCTCAAACCCTTTATGTGTATGCTCTCTGGGCTAGCGTACAGGTTTATACTGTAAATATATACTGGTATATATACTGGTTTCCTTACCTTCGTGTGTTAGTGTGACTTGATAATGGTCTAAGTTGGACTGAGGAACTGTCATAAGGTCGTCTCTCCTATGTCGAGTTAACTTGTGTATTTATACTAACGTCTGTAAAATGGTTTGTAGATATTCGTGGATAAAAATTAACCTATAGAGGAACAGTTAAGTGAGGTTGAGTGGTGTAGGTAGAGTTTATAGTTACACAGGGATGTTGTTATATGAGGCTCTTATTGTACCATATTTCTAGACTGGTTACATTGCATCATATAATATGAATGTGACACAGTTTAGTTTGTATTGATGTCACTGTGAATACTGTTTAGCAGATAGTGTGTGAAGGACGTGGGTGTTGGAGTATAGGGGGATGCTGAAGAGGATATGAGTGTTGGAGAGGGATAGTGTGGGTATGTTGGAGAGGGCGGGAATAGTGTGTGTTGGAGAGGGAGGGGATAGTGTGTGTTGGAGAGGGAGGGGATAGTGTGTGTTGGAGAGGGAAGGGATAGTGTGTGTTGGAGAGGGAAGGGAGAGTGCGTGTTGGAGAGAGAAGGAGAGTGTGTGTTTGGAGAGAGAAGGGAGAGTGCGTGTTGGAGAGAGAAGGGATAGTGTGTGTTGGAGAGGGAAGGGAGAGTGCGTGTTGGAGAGAGAGGGGATAGTGTGTGTTGGAGAGGGAAGGGAGAGTGTGTGTTGGAGAGAGAAGGAGAGTGTGTTGGAGAGAGAAGGGAGAGTGCGTGTTGGAGAGAGAAGGGAGAGTGCGTGTTGGAGAGAGAAGGGAGAGTGCGTGTTGGAGAGAGAAGGGAGAGTGCGTGTTGGAGAGAGAAGGGAGAGTGCGTGTTGGAGAGGGAAGGGAGAGTGCGTGTTGGAGAGGTAAGGGATAATGTATGTGTCCATCTTCTGTGCCTGTCAGGGTTCATAATCTAGCTCTTGGCCCCGGAGGTAAACAATGACAAAAGCCAAGTGGAAATAAAGAATGGTAGCAGGGAATCCTTCTATTACGCAAGATTGGACTTGATCACCCAAAGCTGGACTTATCATCCAAGACTGGACCTTCATAAAGTATACAGAAATAAGCAAATAGTTTCCCTTGTAAGTCATACGAGCACCTTGAGGTTAGGCTCTGAGAGAGAGAGAAAGAGAGAGAGAGAGAGAGAGAGAGAGAGAGAGAGAGAGAGAGAGAGAGAGAGAGAGAGAGAGAGAGAGAGAGAGAGGAGAGAGAGAGAGAGAGAGAGAGAGAGAGAGAGAGAGAGAGAGAGATGAGAGAGAGAGATTAAAGAAAATACGGTACATCCAACAATATTCTGAGATGTGACAAGTGGCAGGCTCCAGCTGGACTACAAGTGACACTGGCAGATTGCATCACCAGCTGATGTAGACGAAACTAAATATGAACTTTGCCAGATGGACTACTGTCACACACAGGATCATTACGTCCTGGAATATGATCAAATTAACGAATTCAGAGAGAACTCACTCACAAATATTGAAGAAATGTCATGGTATTTTATCTACAGTGGAATATTACCAATCCTTATGGAAAATACCCTGATTCTGCCCACTGTAAATAACTTATAACCACTTAACCTTGTGGCTGACCACACTTGGCTACAATATAAGGAAATGTAAATATTTCAGAACTACATATGAGTTACACTAATATTTTTATGAGTGAATTCTGGTCATGTAATACTAGAATGTTCTAGAAGTGTTCCTAGGACAGTAGTATTGAGCTATGATCATCTCTGTAACTGTATTTGTGTATACTTGAATAAACTTAATGATATGGGTTCTTATAGATGAGGTGCTCCTCTGTACCTCATATAAGAACCCATATAAGAGGAATTATAGTAGTCACTGCTAACGTCAAGGCCCGGTGGCCTGGTGGCTAAAGCTCCCGATTCACACACGGAGGGCCCGGGTTCGATTCCCGGCGGGTGGAAACATTTCGACACGTTTCCTTACACATATTGTCCTGTTCACCTAGCAGCAAATAGGTACCTGGGTGTTAGTCGACTGGTGTGGGTCGCATCCTGGGGGACAAGATTAAGGACCCCAATGGAAATAAGTTAGACAGTCCTCGATGACGCACTGACTTTCTTGGGTTATCCTGGGTGGCTAACCCTCCGGGGTTAAAAATCCGAACGAAATCTCTCTTATCTGACTGTTTTGGGGTTATCTTGGAGGGTAATTTACACAAGTTATTATGAATGATAAT